AACTCTTGAATACGTATATGGTGACAAACGAGCTTAACGAGCGGTGTATGGCATTGTGTATGGTAATTCAAAACCACCAAGCTTCAGCTGTCGATCATACATTTTTTCATTTAAATAAACAAACATCCCTATTTGGTTATATCAGTAATAACAACACTCCAATATATAAAGTTGGTTTTATCTACCGTGGTATTTATTTGGCAGGTTTAACGTCCGCTATTACGGCCTTTTGGCCTTAAAACATTTCAGTAGACGAGATAATTTGACAATCAGGTTATTATGCATATAAACAATATCTGAACTCAACTTACACAAGTTAATAAATATCAATTCATTAATTAAAGTGTTTGATCCTTGTCCATTATAAAGTCCACACTGGGAGATGCTTAGGGATAAATTCGTGAAAGAATGGAAGAACTTTTTAAAAAATCAATAAAAAAAAATAACAGAATAATGCGTCCTAGTTATGTAAATACTTACGTATTTTACGTACAATAAGCAATGATATGATTCATATAGTTGTAAATTTCATTACACCACTCTCTGAGATAAGCGCACATTTTTTTCTAACACCACAGTTTATCACACATTTCTTCTTTCCTCCTATTCTTAAATAACCCCTCCCCCGCCCACAGACACACAGACACACACACATACACACTCACACTCCTCCTCATATTCCCTTTACAATTTTGCCAGGCCTGATAAGGCATACTATAGACAATGATCTTTAACGTGACACATCCTTAAGTTCCTTAAGGATAACAAGATACAATCCGTGAAAACGTTTTCACGGCTTGGTTTTGTTTGTTGTAAAAGTCTACCAGTTGTATATACCTTATTACATTTCCAATCAGATGCGGCTAATGTGTAAGCCTCGACGAATTTGTCACCTACAGGACAATCTCCCGAAGTTTTTTGTGTTTCATCGTGGGATTCTAATTGGAATTCCAACTTACTGATTTTTTTTTGTTATTGATCATTCTGCCAATCGCCTGTCGGTAAATTAAAGAGATTGTCAAGGTCACAAGTGCTGCTATGTCGATATGGCTTTCGTCTGTGAGACAGATGGTGTTGTTTTTGTATTTCGTTTTCTTTAGGCACTGCTGAGACTTCCAAAGAACTCAACTCCAGATTTCCATTTTTCACTACTATTTACAAAGTCTAACTTCTTTACAATGATTTCTAATCATTTTGTCTGTAGAAAAATAGTATTAATGAACATGATAAAATTAAAACTATGATTATTATATATATTCCAGGGGCCATATTGAATTTTAAATATTCCCAGTTTCTAAATCATCAATATGAGATAGTATGTTATTGACTGAAACACTTCACGAAGGTTTAAATTTAGCAGGTGCTTTTATTCTCTTAATTTACAGGAGGGTTTTGTTCAAGAGGTTACAAAAATACTTTTAAGGGTATGAAATAGAGACAGAGTTGCATGCTCATTAGAAGCGACAAACTCCTCATTAAGAGTTAAAACATTAATATGTCTTTTTGTCAAATTTATAGAGGGGGTTGGTCAGGTACATTTTGTACCCAATAACTCAATGACTTTTACTTAAGTTATGGACGAGAGAAGTCGATTTTCTTGTTTGTACTACTGTAGTGTAACGCTTTGCCAAGACTTTTGACCCAAAAAGATATTGTACACCTGGTATTAGACATTATAACATGAATAGGAAGACGACACATACAATTGTGCCAAATGCCACACATGCACTGGTTTATTTCGTCAGAAGTCAAGATCACAAATCGTGTCTTATCTCCATTTACTGCGAATGTTTCTGTCGCTAACTTGTAAGGTGCAAAAAGACTGATTCGTTTTAAAAGATCGGAGCGGAAGATTATGAACTTTGTAATGAGTAAAGTTGCCTCCAATGTCTAGCAGCGGTACAAATAAAGCTACATATACAATGAGATTGCCATAACCAATGAGTGTGGTTCATGTCGCCATCTTGTCAAATATCCAAACGTCAGCGTCAGAGTCAAAGTGGCTTCCGGTGTCAAGTCTGCTCTCTATATATCCTATGAATCTTTTGATATTCTAACAAACCTGAGTGACTGGGGTGTCCTAATGACAACATGTTAACCAGTAGTTTTAAGTGGTTAAGGTAATCTCTGGCTAATTCTAATTCTACAGCTACGATTATTGCTTCATCCACCTTTGTAAAAGTGTTACGTAATGTATCGGTGTCATTTATTGAATCGGTCTAGTTAATTCCGACAGTTTGTTCTCACGCTTTCTAGTTTTTTTCTCGGTTGAATTTTATCAGTTCATCGGATGAGTTAACAATACTTTAATTTCTCCTACAACGAGTTATAGAGTAACTTCATTGCTTACCTTATTATTTATTGCACCTATGTCATCTGTAACAAGAGTACGAAATAGGAACGACAAGTGATCTCCTCGGTCTACACTGATACAGGGCGTGAATGTAAGCTATTTTCTTACTGATTTTTCCAAAACTAGACCATTCGTTCTGAAGTACCATGAGGCCATGTCTTAGTCCTTATCTGTAAATGTCCTTGTTGTCATCCGAGATATATTATTATTTAATTTATTCACGACATCCTTGAGGTAGCAAAAGTTAAGACAAAGACTACTAACCATTTCGATCTGGTGATGGTTGTATCGTTCGAAAAAAACGTCGTTTTCTCTAATGAAAGTACTGTCATCAATGCTTGTATTCAGAAATAAAGGGGATAACCGGAAGTAGTTTGTTCAGAAAAGCTTAGGCCTTTGTTACTTCACTGGTATGAAGTCGCACGGCTGCTAGGGTTTGTTTCACGTAAATATCCAGTTTTTTACACTTTATTGCACTTTTTTAATCATTGTTCTATGGGACCTATCAGCTTATCCATTGGTGTATGTTGAGAGCTTCTAATGTCTCCTTTCCAGACCCATTGTCCGGGACAAGCTCTAAGATTTGTCCATAGCTTAAGAATATTTCTTAAAGTAGGATATATACTATATTTTCTGTGGATTTTTCTGGTTCAGGAAAAACTTCAGATCATCATGAGAAAATCGATGAAGGATACTATGTATTTGTTTCAGGACAATTTCTCTGGATAAGCTTCTGACAAGTCCATTGTCATCTTCGCAAATGGTTTAGGAGGGATTTCTGTGACTTGTGCGAGGTGGAATGTGATTGCTTTAGCTCCTGGTCTGACATGTTCAACAATTCTCAACATGTTGGGATAAATTCTTATAAATCAAGCGAAAAAGATTCGCATGATATCATATGACATGTGAGCATATATCATGATGCTGACCTATTGCCATTCCTTTAGTATCTAAGGAATGAAGTCTTAATTAGGGGTCATCTGAATCAACATTTGACAGGTAATACGTAGTCTCCTGTCCAGATTGCTCGTCTGTTACGTAACCTTTCTTGCAAGTCTTGGTCAGTTTCTTGTGACTTTTACACGTCTACATCTTTGGAATGTCCATCTGTTTCGTCGTGGCTAATTCGTATCGCTTTCGGTAACTTCGGGATATCCTTTGACTGGCCTTTGTACAGGGATGATTTACAGCCGTTGATAGTTGGGGTTTTCTGTATAACCTTAACGTCAGCATCAAAATCTCTGTTATACAGATTCCTAAGTTCCTCATCAAACACAGAAGGAATTGGTTCAGTTTCCTTACGACACCGATCACATCTCCTGGATTATTGTGATTGTTCGTGCACATCATAGAGATGTTGTTCAATGTGGTCATTTTGCTTGACACTGGCGACCTACATATCTCCAATAACATCTATCATTACGTCGAGTGTCCACCTCTACCATTGTCCAGAAAATCTACTCTAATTTGAGCATTGGCCATATCAAATAGTTATATCTAATTCAACAGTCAAATATCTTCATAAAGATATAGTAGTGAAAACTACAAAGAGAATTATTGGTGTAAAGTAAATCATCATTTACTCACATTAAGGATGAATAATATATAATTGTTTTTATATCGACAATTTCATTTTACTTTTATAATCAATCTATTGCTCAGCCAGTATAATGAATTCATAAACTAATGTATGAAAAAATAACTACTGAATGTTTGTTTATGTTGAAACAACATGATGAAGAATAGTAATACTATGTAACTACGATAATGTTTTTCTGTTATATAAACCACCAATTCTCTTCATATCTTTATACAAACGGTATATATATCTATCTATAAGAACATTTTCATCTAAACATTTTTATCTAAACATTTTTATTTCTTAGCCTTTACTTTTTCCTAAAGCATATTTGGATGATCAGGTGAATAATCCTTGGAAATACTGAAATAGACAATACTTATTTTCATCAGGTAAATACAGGTAACTACATGTAAAAACAAATTTGTTGGCTGAGTGGGAATGAAACCAAATCTGATGGATACCCGAACTGATCCAGGTTATCAAATATATCCAATTTCAAATTTAATTCCAGACATTCTGGAGCCACCGGTTATGTTCTAACAATGAATGTTGGTTGTATCCTCGAGTCTACGTTGTCGATATTTTTACCACTAAGTTAGTCCCTATGCTGTGTAGTAACATACTATTCATCTGTTGCATAACAATACGGCAGATTTGTGACAACTGTATATATACACAACCAACTACAGAATTTTATGTAGAACGCAACAGCTGTACTGCAGTTCAAGGACATGTCAATGAAATTAACGACCTAAAATATAACAGGCGACCGAGCGGAAAATCCAAGTGATCGAAAACCAATGTCACGATTTAAAAGGGAATCAATTATCATATCAGTTTTAGAAGCACATGTTCAAGGTTCCTTAGACTTGTACAAGTGTATCAGGGACTGATAGGAATATATAAGCTTTATAATTCACTATTTTTTTTCTATAACAACATGTATGTGCATATTACAAACGCTCTGTAGTACAGATAACCTTGTTCAAAGAACCAACACGAAGCATGTCTTCGCACGCCTGGAAGCTAAGGAGAAAACACGCTGTGTTAATAGTGAACTTCCTAAATCTGTTTTTGTGTGGCGGTTTTCCTTTCAATATGTCAGTGTTAAACTTGAAATTTCTACATGTTTTTGGGGAAAGTAAAGCACAGACGGCCCTGGTTCAAGCTGTTACTACCGGGGTATTGGATATCGCAGGTGAGTCATTTTTTATCTATTGTTTTGAATTTTTTTATTTAACAAGAAATGTCATTATGGAGTTAAAGCATGATAATTTACTTAAGAGATCTTATGTATATATTATTATTCCTTACGATGACCCAATTATTGATTACACCAATAAACACGATTTTACACTCCTGAACTTACCTCACACACGATGATATAAGTCTATAAAACATTGTAATGTGGTTCATGGATCAGTATGTATGTGTGTTACGGATATTGATTGAGAGTGGCAGACACAGCTTTAGGGTGATGAACCATTCATGGTCTCCAGTAAATCTCTTTGGAAACCTGACTCTAACGTTGCATACATACCATGGCAGAGGACATGTGTACATATAGACTATATCATTTGCCGGTACTTCATGCACTGAAGCATATCTGTGTTTGAAAGAACCAGTACACAGGTTTTGGTTTGTCTTCCCACGCCCGGTGTATCGTGTGTTACCGGACCCCGTTGACCAATAATAAATTAATTTTTTAGACACTGCTGTATTTTAAACGGTTAGATTGTAATCAATATTATAAAAATATAGTAGCTTTCCTTAGATTTTAGGTTAACCTATGCTATTTAGTATTTGGTTACAAAATTTTAATTTCCTTAAAAAATGAAGTTAGGCTATGTATTTGGAAATATTTGTTGAGGTCAAATTTCTTTACATTATCAGGTACAGGTCCAAAGTTCATTTCACTATCAGCAAGGTCATCAACATAAAGCTCAGAAAACAATCTCAACACATGTTTATATTATGAAAACATATAGATCTGAGTTTATTTATATGGTTATTAGTTTAAAAGTAACACTATATGAAGAGCATTGCTTCCATACTTAATTGAATTTTCTCCACACTCCCTAGTGATAGTGTTAATGATTAACTCTCATTGATAATTAAATTATACTGAATAAAATAATGAAAATTCAATTAATGAAAACAAATCATAACACAGTATTCAATATCAAATAACAACGAATACACTTAATATTGCAAGGCATGAACCATTTTGAAATCTAAACAGAACAGGTTATACATAGTGTAAGATATCATGTTATGAGTTTCCAATTGATATTTATCCATACTGCTAAATTCGAAAGCTGGTGCATCGGTGAATCGTTACGCCTCTACTAATAACCTAATAACAATTACTGTGGTTTTATTACATCAGACCACAATATTATTAAAAACTTTTATCAAAAATTGTTGGCTAACAATATGACGTTTTTTTTTATTTATTTAACCTCTAACATCAGGACAACCATTTCCATAAACTGGGTGGTCAATTATTATAACAATTATATGTTACGTATCAACACTCTAAAATTTGGAGATTTGTCTGCTAAGTTGTGAAAATGTTTTCGGTAGGAGTTAAAGTTCAAAAGTGTTATTTTGGGCAGCAAACTTTTAAAATCTTCTCAAATTCTAGAAAGTCTGCTTTATTGATATAATCAACGACTTGGAAAGGTTTTGTAACTTACCATGAACACTCTCAAAAGAATTTTGTTATAAAAGCTCAATTTCCGCTACAGGTGAATAGGCAGTAACAGACTTCAAAAGTTCTAAATTATTGAAAGTCTTGAAATTTGATACTGAAGATGCAAAGACTGTAATCTACAAAAAATTAATTATTTCAAAGGTCATAGGGGATTCAAATGTTATAAAATATTTAAACGATTTCTTCATAACGACCAAATGTAATACATTGTTGATCATTTTAACTTCCAATATAAATATTGAAGATTGCCAATATATATCATGATTTGAACGTTTCTCAGGAATCATTGGTGGAGCGGGTGTTAATAAGTTTGGAGTCAGAAAAATTGGAATGTGTGGTGGCCTGCTGGTTTTGTTGGGACTCGCTTCTTCATTCTTCGCTACAAGTATTCCCTATCTAATCGTCTCCATCGGTGGTGTTTCAGGTCAGTGCACAGAATTTTTCAATAACCTGTTAATTACCCGTGACTGGATAGCTAGTATAGGTAATGTAGTTTAGTTAAAAAGAGAAATTGCAGTTCAGCAAGAGATCAAACTCGAAGCACAATTTATGTAAACAAGTATTTTCATTGTTTATGTTATTGATATGGTGCAAGGTGCATCACAAATGAGTCTTGATTTATGGAGGAAGAATGAACAAATCTGAATATGGACGGTACCCAGATTGGTCACTCGCCCTGCACTATAACGTCAGATTGCCTTTAGTGTGATGTCCTACGCGTGTTTTATTTACAGATCCTCTGTACGCTATCCTCGCCCACAGCGGCTACATCCTCATCAATCATTTTCATGGTACTTTTAATATACATTATATCGTAAATGAGTTACATTTTGCAGACGATATACCTGGATAACCTTATATAGATAGGAAACATAAGAATATTTTCCTTATTACTATATATTGTCTTATTAATTTGTGATGCTAAGCGCTCGTAGAGGAATTCATCAGATTAGCGTTGCATTTTGTCGAAGCTTGTTGGTGAACTCTTGTCTAATGAAAAAAGTTATTTTCTCTGACACATATCAATATCAGTATCGAACTGCTTTCATGCAGCATGTATGGGCAACATAAAAGAAAATGGTAAGTAAGCGCTTTATGTTTGATTCTTCTTCATAAAGTTGGCATTCAAAATGTCATTGAATGCCAAATAAGACAGTTCATATAAGGACTGAATCTGACATTAGTTGATTACATGGGATGATGAATTTACTTACCCCTGAGACAAATTTAGTTAACTTTATTTGCCCATATTTACATTTCCTACATTTTCAGCAAAATGAATCAGATATCCAATTGAATTGACCAAAGATCTAGTAATGGGGACAGTCGGAAAATGGAATGGCTCGTATGACGTCACAATACATCAGTATTAGTTGTAGTAGTAGCTTCTGTAAACAGCGGTGGGCAAACGTAAATATATACTTATAAAAAGACCTGTGGATTTTAACATAAAAACATGCTGTGATATGTTATATGTCTATAATAATTATTACATCTTATAGACTCTTAATATCTCTCGGATTTCCTTTGATTTGTCTTAAAATATGTTTTTAATATTTTTGCACTTAATCAACAGGATTCGGCTTTTCTCTAACGTTTGTGTCTTGCTTAACATCCGTTGGGGAACATTTTAACGGACAAGCAAAGCTGGTTGCGATATCAATAATTGGTGTGGGAGCTGGATGTGGTTCCATGGTGTTTCCTTTCCTGTTGAACTATCTGACAGAACAATATGGCTGGCGAGGATGTATTTTAATTGTGGGAGGAATCATGGGGCAAATGGTATGCTTTTTTGCCGTTTGTAAACCCAAACTGGTCGGAAAACCACAACGTAAACTTATAAACATTCTGGAAGATGACAAAAACAAAACATCACAGCTTCATCACCTTCTGCAAGATGGCAGTGGCAAAAACGGAAACAATGCTAATATCATTGGAATACCCAGGGACCAAAATGCCTATACTAAAAAGTTAAAATCACTTTGCGTAAACACTGTTTTTATCATTTTTATTTTTGGAATTTCCTTGGTCATATCTTCCTGTTGTGCTTCTTCTATCTACATGTTGGACTTCCTTCGAACTAAAGGCTTCGATGAACATCAAACTTTGTTATTGTATTTCTATATGAATATATCCACAACTGTCGGTAGGTTAATCCCTGGGTTGTGTATACTGGTACCACACATAGATGGTCTTATTGTATCCGCAATCTTTACCTGTTTGAGTTGTGTAGCGAGCGTCGGTTTACTGGAGGCAGCCTCATACTACCACCATGTGATGCTAATGTGTTTGTTTGGACTGGCCTTTGGTTGTAGTAACACAGTCCTATCTATGACTACAATGGAACTTGTGGGTGTCGATACTTACGCCGTTGGAATGGGAATCCTCATGCCTGTTATTGGTGTAAGCAACATTTGTGCTGGTGCTGTATCAGGTATGTACACTGTCATTAAGAAATGAAACGTGCTCACTAAAACATCAAGTGAACGTAAGATGATTTTTTTATAAAGTATGGTTCCAAGTTTAAACTTCTAGTGACTTTCAAAGATAAGATAAGTTGTATTATTTGTAAATTAATAACTTGGGGTTAGGCCGTCATATGAAATCAAGGTGAGGTCAGAAACCATTCCAAGCTATGGGGGTAAACTGAGTCAAATTCATAAATGGCACCATTTTGACAAATCTCCGCTATTCTGGAATCATTCTTCATCATTTTGAAGCATTATGCAACTCCAAGCTTTAAAACATTAAAAGTGATAGCACGAATTAGAATTACGTCGAAAAGTAGGTGACAGTGACCCATTTTTATAACGGCTTAATTATATCAAACATATTCTTATTTTGTGTCTAAGTACAAATAAGAACAATATATTAATTTATCATGCCGTGGTTTAATAAGAAATACGTTTGCACAGTCTAAAGATCAGAGACGTTGCCTATTCAGTGTCGGTTCCTTCTGGAAGAGTGGCTGAACACGCTGTTCGCACAAGAGACGTGCAACAAACTCTATGTATCGCAGAATTCGAGCAACAACAAATGCTAACGGGGAAGGGTGTGCGATATGGGTTGGGGGTAATTTAAACTGTCAATGTCTACCACCTCTTCACATTTCTTGTCAAAGAGATAATGGCTAACTCTAAAGTCAATTAGTCCTTTTTTAATAACAAATATTACCAAGAAATTGAGTCTGCCTTTCTTTTGCATGTAATTAGATTTCATTTAATGGTAAAAATATATATTAATTTATGTTAATAATAAAAATCACGTTTGTACGTTAACAACTGCCATTATAATTAAAGTCCAAGACTGATTTTGCAGTTTTGTTTGCATCAACAACTTCCTATTGCTATTTCAGGTTGGTTAGTCGACGTCACTGGTTCATACGAAGCATCATATTATGGCATGTCAGCTGTACAGGGTGTGGCTGTTTGTCTGTTTATTACGGCTGCTGTGATACGAAGATGTTGTCCACCCCAAGACAATCAGGCCACTCTGAGCCAAGCGATAGGCACACATCAAGGTGAATCAGACCGCCGTCCTTCCTTGCTTGAGACTTCTTGATCTAGTTATGGGCCAGTTCCCATTATCATGATTTTCATGCAAGAAATCCTCAACTGACGAACGAACTCGTAACACAAGGTTTCAAAAGGTACATGCTTATTATAATTACAGGGAAAGTTTCACGTCGTTACTGTGACCACATTGAGAAATAGGTTACCGTATAGCCTCTTATTTTCCAAGGTGAAATAATTTTTTCTTGAATGATAATTTCGCGATGTGGCATTAATAGACGAGCTGTGTACGTAAATGTTCTGTACAGTTCTTCGGTGTTCCGTTGTGTTTCCACATCTTTGTTTATCTCGCGTTTATATAGGAATGCAACCTAAACTTATATCAAAATGTGTACATATATCTGTCAAATCAAACCATCATCATCGCAGGACATAAAGCAGGGTGGTACAGGTGACTCATTCAACCAAATGTTGATACCGAAATAAAAACCTGTTTGAAACCACGTGTTTTTGGGATGAAGCTCTTCAACAGAGTCGAAGTTTAACTTTCTTTTATTTGAAGAAAATACATTATGGAAGTATTTTCTCATTGTTCGGGCCGTTTAAATTTGGAAATTCATGTTTTATATTTTATCACTCCAAGCGTTTTATATCACTGACAATATTTTCTTAATCATAAAAATGACCAGCGAAACCGCGCAAATATCATTCCCGCAAACATAGTCAGCTAAACGGTATTTCGTTATGTGATATACGTTATTTGAGCTCGTTACTTTTCCTGTTGGTTTTGTTGTTGTATACCATGTTCGCATTTGAGAACGTGACATTACTTACTTGGATTGACCAATGTTTACTTGGCGGGTGCCGTCGATAAAACAGAAGACGCTTACTATTCCGGAACAACCGGGCTTATTCTTATAATTTATTCAGGGGTCTCCGTGTAAGTTTTTTTATCATGATTTGACCTAAGTTTAATTGAGTTGAGTTTGGATTATGATTATGTTACTTTTGTACATTTTCTTCAGGTTGGTTATGTCAATAAAATAGAAGTTCTTATAACACAACCAGTAGAAGATTAGAGTGTGACGTTACGATGACTACACGGTCACATTCATCTTATAACACAACCAGTAGAAGATTAGAGTGTGACGTTACGATGACTACACGGTCACCTTCATCTTATAACACAACTAGTAGAAGATTAGAGTGTGACGTTTCTATCACTACACAGTCAACTTAATGTTATAACACAACCAGTTGAAGAGTGTGACGTTTCGGTGACTACACATTCGCCTTCGTCTTATAGCACAACTAGTAGAAGATTAGAGTGTGACGTTTCGGTGACTACACATTCACCTTCGTCTTATAACACAACCAGTAGAAGATTAGAGTGTGACGATGACTACACGGTCACCTTCATCTTATAACACAACCAGTAGAAGATTAGAGTGTGACGTTTCGGTGACTACACATTCACCTTCGTCAGACAAATGACCAGTGTGGAGCGTACTAGCACTGATGTACATAGCGTACAGGATGGTACGGAACCGACCAACTTTTTCGGCTTCGCTATAATCCTATGTACACTAAGGTCGAAAATAGTGTGACGAGATGGTAAACAGATTATGAACCAAATAAATACATCAGATGGCAACAACTTACTGTAGTCGCTGGCTTGTTGACTTCGTGTTATTTCCTCGGTTTTTTTTCAGAACGAGGGCCATGAAAGTTAAAAAAGATGACTAGTAAATAACAAGCATTACCTGATATTTTGAAATATTGAGATAGTGAGGTTTTACGAATGTATGCAGCTGTCGTGTACACTCACTCTGTGAGAAAATACGACGTCCATACTTTACAATAATTTATAGGTACTTTAGATCAACAATGAAGTGCAAATGGATATGTTCCTGATATTTTCTCGTTATCTTTAATTTCTTCATAGTATGGTTGTAGAAAAGGCTTACAATTCAATAGAATGTTCCAAAAGTAACATTAGAATGGACACAGTATCGCTGAACTCTCTAAGATGCTGAGGGCAAAAGACAAGATATGACGACACTTATTTATTTCCAGAAAATGGGCTCACACTTGATCAATGATTACGTTTCAAAGTTTGGCTGTTTTTTTAATATTGTATACTTATGATAAACAAAGCTGGTAAAATAATATTTTGAAAATGGAATGAGTAAGAGAATATCCTACCAGATTTGTGTGGTATCTGTCTATTATTAATACCAGTAAGGTAAGGGACATAACTCGTCTTTACATATCTGTAATAATATGTTGAACTCTTCAATGTGAAGTCATTTAAAGTTGTTATATGTTATGGAACACATGGTGTTGAACTGTATGTTTACACAAAGAAGTAATCCGGGGATGAGATAGCCATCTGTCCACAGAAAGCACGATATATGCTACAATCTGCAACCTAAGTTGTAAAACTTTCAACGTTGTTTTGGTACAGAATGTGCTCTGTTTATTAAACATGCGTTGGTGGAAACAAAAGCTGAAAATCATTGTCCTGTGGTTAGCCATGGAAATAATCAATGTTTTAATCAACATTTCACTGATCATTCTGTACTGTCGATAAGTTTCCGTATTTAGGAAAAACAAACCCAGTGCCACAGTACTTATAACTTAACACGTATCACATTATACCGTATGCCGCTTGAAATATATTATATTGGCCTACTTGCAGTTGAGCTGTATGGCATCAATGACCGCATTGGCTCATGTGGAAAGTTACTGATGGTATTAATATCGGCAATATTTTACACTAGAATCTGTCAAATTTAACATCCCGCAGTACTTCCAATGTAGAAATATTTCTGTAATTTCTTACATTTTTCAAAGGCCATTGTGTAGCACCCTGTTAAATTTGTGTGTGTCAACCAATCGAGCTAAAGAGAAGTTCTCTCCAGCCGAGTGGTATATTGCGGCTAGTATTTTAACAGGGTTACAATTGCATTCAAGTTTTTTTTTTCAACCACAAACAGAACCTGCAGCAAATTTAATGTAGATGACCTAAGAACTACCCATCAATTTGTTTTTGTTCTACCTCTCCTTATAACTAAGGTTCACCTGGGGATGTAGTAGCATTATCCAAAACGTTAAGGGTTTTAAATATCCTGAAACTCTGTCCATTAATTGGAATATGAATTTCAATATAGTTAAGGATCTGTTGAAGACTATGTCAGAGAGGGGGTGAAACGCTGCGCTAGATTTATTGTCGGAGTGTCTTAAATCCATTCGGTCAATCATTCTTAAAACATTTAGCAGCTGAAATCTAAAAGGCTAAGCCACAGGTCATAATCCTTAATACTGATCAACACTCCAACATGCACGTGACAAATATGTTATTGTGTCTGCAGGTAAGTACATACAAAACGATATGCTAGCTGATAACGAAGAACCAAGCCCAAGCCCCTTTATCGTTGCAATCACTATCAACTATCATTTAGATTGCTTATTAAGGATGAGGATACGGACCTCCTACAGTTATATTGGATTCTTAAATTCACATCACTTTATAATTTTTAACCAGACCTTTGTCAAAGCTTCTTACTTAAACCCTTAGTTATGTTATATCTAATGCACAAGTTTAAGGTCGTTACAGTGATCTCATTGCGAAATGGTATGTTTCTGTGTGTGATATGAAACTGTTCGATGCTTGGTAGTTTGCTTGTTCGTTCCATGGTTGTAGACTTTGTTGTTATTTAGGAATGTAACATTACGTATTTGATATCGTCGAGGAAGCAGAAGACGCTAACTCTTCCTGAACACATGGTTATGTTCTCTTAGTACTTTTTCACGAGTTTCTGTGTAAATCTCGATTTTTTTTTTTTTTACTTGCCAGATTAGGTTTATTCGAGTTTAGTATGTTCATGTCTGTTTTAAAACAGAAATTGTATGGAAGCATCGACGAAGAACTACAGTCCACACACTACGGATACAGATGACTGAAATGTTCATTTCTCTCATTTCATGCATGTACTGCAGTATCTGTCATTGACCTTTCTGACCACTCCCGACTAATGTCAATATTCCAATTCTATCATGCCTCTAATGACTTTAAACTGAAGTGTCGCCCTTTTCTGTAATGACTAGACCTGGAATTGCCCGCACCAAAATGTATATATGAAAACACATTGGAAATTAAACGCAGATTTGGGTAAGCAGGTGACAAGTACTCTGTATTACGAAGAAGACTGGAAAATCATTGAGAGTTGGACGTCCGAATAACTCCTTCATAGCATTTCTATCCATGTATGATGCGCATCCGCTGTCATCATGTTGTTAAAAATTACAAATATAAGCCCATGCCACGTGCTTTGATTGTAATACAAGATCAACGTCATGCCACTAAACAAAGGATTCAGAAATTGCATGAAGTGACTTTCAGATCCAAAGTAAGCCGAGTTAAACGTGTTAATATCGATAATTATAGAATGGTGTGTGTGAATTGTTTTGAGAGTGTACTTAATGATGTAAAGTGCGATAAACCATAATCCTTGTGCTGGTGTGCCGTAATGATGGTCTTGCCTCAGTCTAGCTCCTGATATTGGATTTACAATAGTCACAGGCCCAAAGCTATACCTGTTCTAAGTCCAGACCATGGTATGATGTCAATGTTTCAGCTGTTTGGGGCAGAATATGTACAGGAAATGGGACTTCTCGTCTCAATGAAATATCTTGGACTCTCCTGTAATTTGGCAGCCCGTTTTCACCAGCAGGAAATTAGTACATGTAAGCAAAATGGGATGGAAAAATAACTCTTTGATGTAGGTGTCGAAGAAAACGGAATTGCCATGACAAAAGGTAATTTTCGTGATGGTGTACCTTGTATTACAATGATAGCTTATGGGACTGTAGTAAAAGAAGTCATTAGCATAACTACAATGAACTTAGAGATACAGGTGTAATCATAGGGAAAGAAAATTAAATTTTACGTTTAGAAATTATGAGCAAGCACTGTTACAGGGCATCAAGAGAGTTCAGGCAATGAAATCAGATACAATTGTTTCATTGGCCATTTGTCGTATACTTCTAAACAAGGTTTGGTTATTCTTTTCCTTAACGCCTTTTGAAATTCGAACTGCAGTTTGACAAGCTTCTCCTCTTTTTGCCTTTCTTTTTACTCTCTTTTTTATATTTAGTGGTCATTACTCTGACTCAAGTTTAACCTGATAAAAAACATAACTCAACTACACAAAACTAGAGTCCAATACGTACATCCATTAAAAAGTAAATAAGCCAATAGAAAACAATGACGACGAAGGACAACAGTATGTGCTCCGAACAGTTCCACGTATGGACACAAAAGGTGACAATTAAAACACTAGGAGTGGCGAATGATACAGTTGTGGTGAACGTGTAATAAAAATGGCGTCAAGTCCGTGAAATTTGATCAATGATTTCCAATGCATGAAACAATTATAGAATACTGATGGGGAATTCTAGGTCATATTAATTCGTAGGATCAAGGCATTTTGGGGCGCGCGACAGGATGATAAAAAGCTTGAATTTTTTCGTAGTTTCGGCTACAAAACTTTCAAATTAATAAGTAACATTTGTGTTGAATAACTATTTAAAATGTAATTATACATGTGTTGTGTTTATCTCAGTTTTCTTCTGACCCCACATATTACCATCTTTCGAGATCAAGAAATCTCATTTTCTCTTCAGTATCTATATTATTGGCGCATGCCCACTCATATCATTTTTGTTTTGTTTCACTTGAACTGTACGTACATGTATTACTGAGTTTAATTGTTTTTATTTTAACCACAGACCAGTAACAGTAAGCAAATACGCAAATCCGCTTGTCCAAAAGTCAACACAGCAGGTCAGTTAACTTGTTAACCTTAAGAAGACCTCGCGTGCCAAACCTTAAGAAGACCACACGTGCCAAACCTTAAGAAAACCACACGTGCCAAACTTAAGAAGACCACACGTGCCAAACTTAAGAAGACCACATGTGTCAAACCTTAAGAAGACCACACGTGCCAAACCTTAAGAAGACCATACGTGCCAACAATCTGTTCACACCTGTCGGAGATATTTGAAAAAAAAGCGTTTATAACAACATCAAGGGCGTTTACCGACATCTGTCCATTGTGAACATAACTCAAGAAGCTATTTCAAATCTCAAATTCAAAACATTCCATTTACGTGTCAAGCGCACACTATATAATTGCATTATACATAAAATGACATTACATTGTAAAATGTACCCAGCCAATAATGGTTTACTAGACACTTTAACATATGACTTGTAAAATGTTCAACTGGCATACTGGATTTTGCTTAAGCGACATATGATTGGTACCACAAGCCTTTACATTGTTATGGTTTATAAAGATGGTGCCGTTTGGCGTTCATTTTTTTTCAAAAGTAAAGCATACAATAAGTTTGTAACCAATTTAATATAAACTTTGTTTCATTCATTGATGTGTACGTAAACACCGCGATTATATAAAAACAATCACATCTGAATTGGATTCAGAAGCAAGTTTTGTTAACTTGTATAAATCCGTCTTCGTTTCTGATGCACTTGAATTAATGTTACATGGAAACAAGCGGAAAGTGAAGATGTAGACGCTGATTCTCGTACTATTATATGTGAAAACATGGGATAGAGACAAAAATAATCAAAGAAGTAGCGTGATACCGACAGAATAATATTGAGCCAACAAAGCAATCATTCATATTCCTTGGCGCTAACAATGAGCTGATTTAAATGGAACAGTACGGTAAATACGTATGACAATACAGTTTCATCACCATTGTAAATATTTTTTATGGTCATTTGTGTGGGGTTTGATCAAAACTCGCGAAAGGAATGAAAACGCGACAGAGCTGATAACGAATTTCTAAAAAAAAACTTATGGTGATCTTGACCCAACAATACTGAAACAACAACTGACGTACCCCGACCTCAATCCCCTTTTAATTCTTCACTTTAAAGTACCGTCATGTCGTTCTTTTTTCGTGTTACTACAAGTGATCTAATCTATATTTGATTGTCCATAAGTTCCGGTAATATATATTAGTATATGTAATTGTTGTATACATAATGTCCATTAACGGAAAAGCGGAGAAAATGTAACGTCGTCCCAACTCGGTTTAGTTAATGAAAGTTGACTTCCGGTATTGGAATCGAGTCTTTGTCGGAGCTAGATGTGCTGTAATAATTACTGCAAATGCATCGATGATATTACTACACGCCGTTTTGGTTACATATTTGTTTTCAGTAATATCTAATATGTGTTAAGACAGTGCATGAAAATTACTCCGGGAAACTTAATAACCACAAGCCATTATGGGAATTGCACATCAATACGAACTTGGTTCAATCATTATCATACCAAAGGCCTGTGATAATACGGACGGTGATTATGATACGCGAAAGACTTTTTTAATAATTCTCCGATATACCAGTTGTTCTATTTTTAGTTTGTTGCTTACAAGTTAAAAAAATGGGGCTTGTTGAGTATTTATTAAGTGATTGACTGTGTACTTACCTAACCAAGTGTTGTTTACAGTCACATTTCGACAGAAATGACTGCCAAATCATTATGGAAACTGGAAGAATCTCTTGATGTTTCTGAGGTTAATGAAGCTGTGAGTCCCTCGACACCAACATCACACATAAGTATTCCAACTGCATTGATCATGAATGAAATTGTTGGTGAGAAATCAATATGGAAATTAGATGAATCCCCTGACGTCACAGATGAGTCCCCTGACGTCACTGAAGTAAATGAGGGGGCAAGTCCCTCTACACCAATATCACAGATAGAGAATGGTATAGCAATATCTCCTGATGCAGATGTTCCTGATGAAATCGAGAATGTAGGCCTTGGAAATATACGTGGTAATTTATGTATCCCAGACAGAACAGGTCTTATTTTGACTTCCAATGGTAGATATGCAGTCAAAAGGAAACTGAATGTCAAATCTATTGAGACAAAGTATGAAGCTATACTTGCTGTTGAACGTGGGAATAGGAGAAAATCTGATATTGCAAAGGATTTTGGCATACCATCAAATACCCTGTCATCGTGGCTGAAATGTGCTGACAAAATTAAAAATGCTTTCTTAAATAGTACCTATGGCCCAGAGAGGAAGAAAATGAGGACAGGACATTTTGAATATATTGAACAAGCTCTTTATAAATGGTATGATGAAGCCAGACGACAAAACTTGCCAATTTCTGGTACAATTCTAAAGAATATAGCAGGAGAAATTGCAAGTAATATGGGAGAAACAAACTTCAAATGTTCAACAGGATGGTTGGACAGATTCAAAGGAAGATATGCAATAAGTTTCAAAAATGACAAAGGCAAATACTATCCAACATTGTGTTCCCAGTCACACCCAAATGACATCTACAATGCCACTGAAACTGGATTGTTGTACTGCATTCTCCCAAATAAAGAGAATATCAGCACTTTGAATTTTCCAAAGGCGCAAAATGATGATGAAAGACTAACACTGATGGTCGGTACAAATATGACTGGTACGGATAAGTTACCTCTACTTGTGATCGGTAAAGAAGAAAATCCTTTCAATTCGGGAAACCATGTACAACTTGCATCAAATTTCAAATATGTTTCAAATAAAAATGTGTTCATGACATCTGATATTTTCACAGATTGGATTTTGGATTTAGATATGAGATTTCGTGAAAAGAACAGAAGAGTTACTTTGATATTGGACAGGAATGCTGTTCATCCAGCGATAGAAGGACTGAAAGCAATATCACTTGTGTTTGTTCCTGCATCTGATCGGAAACTGCAGCCATTAAACCAAGGCATTCTACATAGCCTCAAAGTACAGTACAGAAAAAGCCTCATCACAAGGCAAGAACAGATTTCAGACACAGACTTAAAAATCAGCATTAAAGATGCTATATTGCTCTTGGATGAAGCTTGGAACAGTGTTGGGCCAGCAAAAATTTTTAACTCCTTTAAGCTGTCGGGAATCAAATCAGTGGATGTTGATGAAGGCGATACAATGCCTACAACTGATGAAGAGGATGAGGATCGAAGCGTGCATTCACAAAAATATAATTTCCAGCGAATCTTGGATGAATATGCTCGCGTTGACGAAAACATATCTACTTGTCAACCTCAGACCTGTAGACCAATAGATGATTCTGGAGTCACAAGTGATGCATCAGATAAGTGCTATGCCAACATGTTTCTTGTGACAAGAAATGCTGATACATCTCGTAAAGTGTTTGACGGCAGACAGGCAGATGTAGGTGAGCATTCATTTGGTGGTCACTTGTCCCAACTACCAGTGACAGACATTTCTGAAGACAATGTGATGACTATGCGAAATCAAAATTATGGAGATACTGACCATGGCACAGACACCAGTCATACGCAAAGGTCACAGAGTGCATCTGCAGGCAACCATTCCATTCCTTCCACTATGGATGCTATGCAAGCATGTGTTACTCTTCGAGCCTACCTAGAGGCACAGAATAATACAAATGATCTTTTGGAAACGTTGGCAAAGATATCAGATCGTGTGATGAAAGAAGCTCTTGTTGAACACCAGTCACAGCTAAACACTGGTGCTGAAAGGACTAGTAGGACCCATACATCTAACAGTGACCTTGAACAGTTTCATGTTAAACATGAAAATATCAACTTTTAAAAGAGATCGGAAATTTAAATGTAGACTTTGATTAAAGTTATAGAGAAACTGTCAGTTGAACATGAGATTATTTGATATGATGTTTCAGTAAATAGTTGTACCATTGTTCCAGCAAGAGATTCAATGTACTGTTGTATTTATATAACATATTCATACTGTAATGAGTCAAGGGAACCCAACTCATTACTTCTGCGAGTCAGAAAATAAAATTTATAAGACATTAAATTTACTATAGCAAGAGTAAGCTTATATGTAATTTTTTTGTCCATCATGCACCATCAATCATCGTACACCATCAATCATCATGCACCATCAATCATCGTGCACCATGCATGAACTTTTTACATTTTAAACTTCTTCCCAAGTTCTGTCAGTTGGATTGAGATGAAACGTACCTGAAATGATGCGCAGCTAGTCTAACAAGATGTTATTTTTTGGGGTCAGTCCAAAATCCAATATGGCTGCCATCTTGAAAAAATTTTTAAAATAACTTCTCAAGTTCCGCTGGTGCCATTGTGCTAAAACTCGGTGAGAATGATACAGAAGGTAAGTCAACAAAGTGTTGTTTTTTATTTAAGGCCTTGTCAAATATTTAATATGTCAACCATAGTGGCCATTTTGTAATATGCTTGCACATTTGTGGTTTCCTTGAACAATACATATTTTAAACTTCTTCTTAAGTTCTATCAGTGGAATGGAAATGAAATTGTCCCGAGATGATCCTGATCAAGTGTTGTTCTTTTTTGCGGTTCAATCCAAATCCAGTTTGACTGCCATCTTGAAAAAACACATTAGGATTCTCGAGTTTGGTGTCATTGAGTTGATATTCTGTGGAAATGTTAAGAAACTGAAATGAAGGGTGTTCTTCACCTTTACTACTAAGATATCTGTAACTGTTTGAATTATATAATGAATGTTCCTACTGTTATATATAGGTCTAGTCAGTGGACTGTCAAGGCCCACAAACCTATTGTTATAATTGTCATATTAATACAGAAGTTGATAAAGTTTGTTTGTCAGTGGAGTTGGTCACCGCGGAAACAGGGTCACTCTGAATAACATACAGGAGACTGGCCACATGCCATGCATAAGAACATGACCTTGACCGACTGATTCATTTCTCAGCTTCTTGAGCAATACAAAGCACTCTAGTTAGGGAGTGTAACAGAGCAATACAAAGCACTCTAGGTAGGGAGTGTAACAGAGCAATACAAAGCACTCTAGTTAGGGAGTGCAGCAGACCAGTACAAAGCACTCTAGGTAGGGAGTGCAGCAGACCGGTACAAAGCACTCTAGGTAGGGAGTGTAGCAGACCGGTACAAAGCACTCTAGGTAGGGAGTGTAGCAGACCGGCACAAAGCACTCTAGGTAGGGAGTGTAGCAGACCGGCACAAAGCACTCTAGGTAGGGAGTGTAGCAGACCGGTACAAAGCACTCTAGGTAGGGAGTGTAGCAGACCAGTACAAAGCACTCTAGGTAGGGAGTGCAGCAGAGCAATACAAAGCACTCTAGGTAGGGAGTGCAGCAGACCAGTACAAAGCACTCTAGGTAGGGAGTGTAGCAGACCAGTACAAAGCACTCTAGGTAGGGAGTGCAGCAGAGCAATACAAAGCACTCTAGGTAGGGAGTGCAGCAGACCAGTACAAAGCACTCTAGGTAGTGAGTGTAGAAGTTTATATTAGTTTGAGCTTCAAATTCTTCTGCTGCAAAGTAAGATTACCTGTAAATCATTATAAAAATGATAAAACTCCAGATTTTCCAGACTCTTAGTGTTTGTATTCAACATTGTTATAGCTTTATAGTACTAGTGATCACTGACAAACAAGCTAGCCTAAACTGTACGACACAAACTCACAATACAAACACTAGGTATGACATTAGATACTTTAAGTGTAACATAACAGAAATCCAATTAGGAGTTTATCTTCCACTATTGTTTATTACTTCAGATTGACGAAGAAAATTAATGAATTGGTCTTAACATGTAAATAGTAACGGCTATCAGCCGAGTGTCAGTATACATATAGACTGATAATGAAGATGTACATGCATGTTTGTTTATTTTTTACAGTATCTACCTGGCAATAAGCCCACTAATATTACTGTACTGTAAAATTATACACTAATACAACTTCATTGTTTTATATAAATCAGCCTATCACTGACTTTCAGTTGTCCTGGGCCTTGGTAAATACATAATATGATTCAGTTCTTGGAAACCACCCAGCAATCATAACCTTTTAGTCAATATTAAAAGAGTTGATCTCTGATCTCCATATACATGTATGTATATAATGTAGATGGATATTTAAAGTAATATTTTGTATTTGTAATTATATACCAAAATGATGAACAGATGTTACAGTTCTTTGTGAATTTTGAAACGCATGTATACATGTTGTAAATGGCAAACATGGGACATTAAATTGGGTACAGTACAATTATGTAGATTCATGTACAATAATTTCTGGATTTGATTCTGAATTTGTTGACAAATTTTTCAGTACAGGTGTATTAGTCAGAGTAACATTTTAGTAACTCTAGTCTTGTACAACACAATTAACTAAGAATGTAATAACCTGTATAACTTTTATTTGATTTAATTGATAGGATGCTTTTACCTAAAAAAGGGTTTATGCAAAAAAAAACATTATTAATAGAGTACCAGAATTATACATTTATAATACTCATAGTCTCAGAAGTAATCAAAATTTTTTAAAATATCTGTTGTTGTATTGGCTTTGGTAAATTACTTTGACGTGACTGCGACATCATTCAGACTCTATACTAGTTGTTTATACAGTTTGTCGTGGTAGATATCCCATCATACATCTGTTAACATAAATTGGATGTTTTCTATTTATTGTAGGCATGTTTATTGTCTTGATATATTCATGTAGACAGAAAATGTTGTACCTTTTGACTATATTGATCTCAATCTGACGTAATTGACAATTTGTCCGTTCATAGTTAAGATTACCGTAAAACTTTTATATTCTTTAATGTAATAGAAGAAAGGTGGATATTTGTTCCTCCTGACCTTCACCTTTGATATTAACTAACCAATATTGGCCATCAGTAATTTGAACATTTAAATGTTATCAGTATTTCTCACCCTCCATATGCAGTTTTACATTGATCTTTCTCAACTTTCATATGTAGAGGCATTTTTGACTCCAGCTGTACATGTTCATTCTTAGAGGAACCAGATTAATACCTACATAAATTTAAATTAAATTCTGATTAACCACATGTACCCAATTGAATTTTTGCATAAACAAACATATAGGCTGTTTCAGGTAGTTATTCATCTTAAACTTGAACAGTTTAAGTTTGTTTTTACAATTTCTCAGAAAGTTCGTTTTCCCACTCGGACCATTGTTACAGTAAAGTGGCCTTCTTGGATGTAACTGTTGAAGTTTTTTACTCTTTCTTTTCAATCTCATGTTTCATATACATTTGTTTTTGATATTCTACATGCAAGACCTGTTTTAAAATTTGGACAAAAAATAAAAGAACTGATGGGGCTGTTGGTTATGTTTTAAGTTTGGTTTTGCTCTTTGCCAGGAAGTTATGCTTGATATTTTCTCAAATTTCATAAGTATATTTCCCTTGTGTGTGGCCAAAATGTGACTTGGGATTTTGACAGCAGGGCCTCATTTTTCCTTTGATAGTACTGCATCAGTCCTATTGAATTTCATACAATGTTTCACTTTGACCCTTGTTGTGTACCGGTATATTAAATTTTGATATTAATTCAGTTAAGACTGATAGGTGGTTTGCTTTGAACAATTTGATTTTTTATTATTTCTAAGAAAGCATTACAGGTTTTTCTGATCTCAATCTTCCTACATGGATTCAGGTAACTCCCAGATACTTGTGCATGTTTTGTGTGAAAGTTATCAGACAAAGGAATATGTAGCTATCTTGTATTTGAAGTTGAATTCTGGAGGTGGGGGAGGGGGGTGTGTAACAAATCTAAGAAGATCTTGTAAAAATTCTGCAATGTTGAGCACTGTAACCATTCAAGGATCTCATTTACCATATATTGTTTGAAATATAATTGAGATATTGTATGTATGTTTAGATTATTGAACAACAAATGTACATTCTCTCATATTATTGTACCTTGTATGTAATTGTGTCCATATATAATTTGTACAAAATTTGATGATTTGTAAAAGGAGTTAGAAATGCAGTTGAAAGTACATTTTCACTGATTGATTAAATTCATTGTTCAATTAATTGATCTTTGTTTTCTTATTTCATTGATTTTTTTTGTTTACAATGTGGTCTTTTGCTTCATACTATCTGTAGATAGAGGAGCGCCTCTCTCTCTATGAGGTGATGATTTTCCAACTCTTAACAACTGATCCGAGGAAGCATGCTCCATCAGCTTTGTGACCGAGACTGCAGGCCACTAAAGGAATAAAAGCTGTTTGGGATATTGGAGGACACCCATGTAGTTTAACTGAAAATGGTTCACAGGTTAACAAGTTGTCTGTACAAAAATTTTCCTGAAAAACCTGTACATAGTGACCTGATTACCAAAGCAACCCTATTTTCTTCTTAAAAAAAAAACTTCATGCACATCTTCACTTGATGGATAACATTGATGTGTAGTTTCATTGAAATTGCTTCACAAGAGTTTAAGAGGAGTTTTCTGTACAAAATTTTTCTACAGAGATGCTGATTCCAGTTCATCCACTCCCCCACCTTCCCGATTTAGTTACGTATAATTACATGACATTCTAGAATTATTTATCCACAGCTTCTCTACATATAGTGATACAATAATTGTTCACGGATATAAAAATGACATTTGAACAATCAACTAATCAGATAATGATAGGCTAAAGTTGGAAAAATATAAACTACTTTAAAAAGACATTTCCATTGTTTATTGTTGACCATATGGAATATATTAATACAGCAATTATTATAAGGATGGAATGGGAATTGCTGAAATACATGAACAGTTTAAATGTTTGACACAAATACACTTAATAAAGTGTAATTTCAAAATATTACTCTCCCTCTTCATTATAGTGAACGTTTTTAAGTCAGGAAGAACCATTTGAATAACCTGCAATTAAATTTGTTTGCTGGGATAACTGCCCTGTAAACAGCCATGGTCATTTTTAAGTCGGAGTCTCCTTGTCACTGACGGCTACCAAACTGAACAACATAGACCCTTCACATGCTATCCACAGAAACAAAGGTAAAAAGTTTTGCCAAGGAACACAACCATGACAGCCCAGACCGATCTGTTTCTCAGCTTCAAAAAACAATCCCCCTACACGTGAAGGAATCGTAACAAAGAAAGGCAATATCATGATTCTGTTAATAGTTTTTCTCCAGCCATCCTGAGAATAGTACACATTTGTTAACTTTCATGCCTGGGAGGTTTCCACTAACCCTTCTGAGAACAACACACACATGTTAACACTCTCATACCTGGAAAGTTTACACTAACCATACTGAGGACAGTACACACATGTTACCACTCGCATACCTGGGAGGTTTACACTAACCATACTGAGGACAGTACACACATGTTACCACTCGCATACCTGGGAGGTTTACACTAACCATACTGAGGACAGTACACACGTTACCACTCGCATACCTGGGAGGTTTACACTAACCATACTGAGGACAGTACACACATGTTAACACTCGCATACCTGGGAGGTTTACACTAACCATACTGAGGACAGTACACACGTTAACACTCGCATACCTGGGAGGTTTACACTAACCATACTGAGGACAGTACACACATGTTAACACTCGCATACCTGGGAGGTTTACACTAACCATACTGAGGACAGTAGACACGTTAACACTCGCATACCTGGGAGGTTTACACTAACCATACTGAGGACAGTACACACGTTAACACTCGCATACCTGGGAGGTTTACACTAACCATACTGAGGACAGTACACACATGTTAACACTCTCATACCTGGAAAGTTTACACTAACCATCCCCAAAACTGCATCCAGTTGTTTGCTGGGATTACAAATTTACTCAGTCCTGACAAGATTACAATGACATAGAACCATGATTGATAAGGGTAAGTTAGTGATGTTGTCATCAAACATAGACGATATGCTGAGTAAAGGTGTCAGCCAAATTTAACTCACCAACTTAACGAACCCATAAACATGATCCACATTGACTTAACGAACCCATAAACATGATCCACATTGACTTAACGAACCCATAAACATGATCCACATTGACTTCCAAACCCATAACATGATCCACATTGACTTAACGAACCCTTAAACATGATCCACATTAATATTTCTGACCTAAAAATGATCCCTATTGTCATGAAAATACTAGAGAAAATTTCATTTAGAAAGTTTACCTAATACACTGACATAGTTGGTTGTTAACAATATACAAGCCTGCCCACATCTACCTCTTCTTCGTAAAATAACAAACAAATGATATTTCATTGCCCTGTATATACCCACCTCCTGACTTTGAGTACTATTGTCTCATTCATAACATTTCCAATTTTGTTTAGTCTCATTCATAACAGTTCCAATTTTGTTTAGTCTCATTCATAACAGTTCCAATTTTGTTTAGTCTCATTCATAACAGTTCCAATTTTGTTTAGTCTCATTCATAACAGTTCCAATTTTGTTTAGTCTCATTCATAACAGTTCCAATTTTGTTTAGTCTCATTCATAACAGTTCCAATTTTGTTTAGTCTCATTCATAACAGTTCCAATTTTGTTTAGTCTCATTCATAACAGTTCCAATTTTGTTTAGTCTCATTCATAACAGTTCCAATTTTGTTTAGTCTCATTCATAACAGTTCCAATTTGTTTAAAGTTCTTGGTCAGTTTTAATCTCAACACCATTTGTTTTTTTGGATGGAAAAAGTTGTAGTATTCCAAGGCAGTGACTTCAGTGTCTCGTTAAAAATCATGTCACTTCAGCATCTCTTTCTATTCCTACAAACTTCAACTGTTCAGTTGGTCCATATCTGTCAAAGGAAGAAAACTCCAAATATTTACTTTCTTTATCAAATCACTATCACATAATAAAATATTTTACAAAACTTCTCTAATGCCCCCCCTCCTCCCCACCCCCTTCAATGGAAGGGAGGCTATCAAAACAGGTCTGCAATAAATCTAGGTTTCAGAAGATGCTCTTTCTCGATTAAATTCAAAGATCAATATTTTAATAAATTTTTGATACTATGGGAAAATGTAATACACGAAAATTAGGCCTACATGACACATAAAGCTAAACAGTTGATTACTACTTAGAGAATTTACTCAGTCTGGGACAATTCTTAAAATTTCAAATAACCTACCTATAGTCAAAAAAGAGTTCCTCTCCAGACTGTATGGGACGCTTGGCAAAGATCCCAATTCTGTGGTCGCCATTCACCATCATTACTTTAGCATAACAGTTAGGATTGACCGAGTGGTTGGCAAAGCGGATCTTGTTTCCTTTCCTGGTAGCATCCACCACAAAATCTGCCACGGGGAAACAAAAATAATCCAAACATGAAACCATAATGTAATCTTCAAATGTTCCAAACTTGTTTCAAAAATTATCTTATAAATCAATAGATAATATCCCCTCTCCCTCCCAAAAAATTCCAAAATTCCCTAACTTTCACATTTTTTTCATTGGTTTAAAATTTGCTATTTAAAAAATCATTTTATTTCCAGGTCAGAAAATACATGTTTGGTCCTTTCAATTATAGCTGCTGTGAGCTTTATCAATCAATTTTATCAATCAATTCAAAATTACCAAGCTAGATTTCCTTAAACTTAAAAGTCCCAGTAATCTTTGTCAATATTGAAAGACTCGGTAAAACAGACTATAGTATACCATTGTTGAGATTAAACAGGAAGCTACACATGTACTTGTCGTAGACTTTTCCTCGTCTATCAGCCTCATCTTGAGATATTATCTACAACAATGAAGATTCAGAAATGACAACAACATGTCCAAATAAGGAGAGGACTTCTATAGGCTATACCTGCTGCCCAATTCCTACTGTCGTTAAATCTTGACAAATAAAATCATTCTGAAATGTAAAGTTCAATCAACAGTAAGACTTATTTTCCTTAAGAATCAAATTAATCTGACATCATGTGTAATTGATGGTATTACAATATAGATAGTTCACCTCATCCTCGACACTCCAGAGGTTACGATCACTTTGGCTCTCTGAACCTCTGGAACTTGTCATGACAAAATCAAAGGAACAAACAAAGGTAATTTATTCCAGGAAAAAAAAAATGACCACAGCCTTCTGAAGATTACATAGGAGCAACACCCAACTTCTGAGTCATTACGATTTACCGTAATGCAACGTCGAGATTCGTTTGATGTACATCTGAGGATCAAACTAGTCTTTTCAGCTTGCCCACAAGGTGTTGCACATGGAACCTTCAGTTTTGCCATGACATATTCCAGAGGTCCAAGGAGTGAAAGTGACTGTAACCCCAGGAGTATCGAGGATGAGTTCACTTGTACCTACTACCACTAGGATCTATAACTACTACAATCATGCCTTATGATATGTAAGGTTTTGTACTTACCTCTCCACAGTATTCTGATATAAATTCATTCTTTTCTGCTGGACTTTTTAAGAAAATCCCCCATCCTGCTACATCTGATGGAGCTAGTAGTAGTCGCTGAAACAAGTAAAAAAATTGTTTATTGGAAAAACCAAAAATTTCAGTAAACATAATTTACTTCATGTGCTCAGCAATTTTCATAAACATTAAATATGTTTCGTAGCATATTGAAAATCTTTTGACTCATAAGATTTGTGTATCTTCTTATCTCAGCGATCCCATGAATAAAATAAATAAAACAAATATTTATTTTACAACAATTCCGAAACAACCTTTAAACCTATATTTATCACACTTGTTTGTCCAGCTGGAAGCACAGTGCTGTCTTACTGTTGTAGGAAACCAGAGTGCCTGGGGAAAACCCATGTGGTCCGGTGGGTGACCCCATATCTTTTCACATCCATTCCGGGGATCAAACCCCGGATGGCTAGGTGAAGGGTAAGTGGGTTACCAATACGCCACCCAACCCTGGTCACCTCAACAGGACAATTCTATTATCTCCCTTCACTTTCGTATGTGGAGAAGCCACAGGTCTTCTCCCAATATTCATATTAAAGCATTTGCAGTTAAATCTTGACATTGACTTCCACAAATGAACCAGAAATCACATTAACCTATCAAGTGACAACAAAGATGAGAAAATATATCACTTAAGTTTTTCCAATACTATCATAACAACTGATTAACTGTATTTCATTTTCAAATTCACAGCTGATCAAATTCACAGCTGATCAAATTCACAACTGATCAAATTCAACCTTCCACAGTATTGATTCTTACCTTTCTTAAACCCCTCTGTACACTGACGTTCTTACAAGATATCTTAGTGCTGTCACCAAAATGATCTGAAAATAACCAAACCAGCCATTAGGAATCCCATTGTCAATAACAAAATGCTTTGTGTCAAAAATCAATGAAGTAAAGCACATTGCATCCTTTCAGTATCAAACAAACTAACTGATGCCAAGCTTCAGTTTACTCCTGTTAAGCTGTTAAATACCTTGATATTAATGCTATAGGATCGTGGCTTGAATGCTGTACACTTTCAGCTTGTTGAGGTACAGATATTTGTACTGATCAAACATTTATGTCACACTGAGATAAAGTCTGGTGACTGATTACACTAACAAGAGAAATCACGTTACCTGCCCCACAGGTCTGACACAAGTCTGGGTCGCACTCCCTAACAGCAAGGAAACAGGGACATTGTTTTGTGTTACATTGAGCTTTACACCTACATCCAGGGAAGCGGTTCTCACCTGTTATAAAATAATAAAAAAAACTTACATTACAGGTATGGCAAGATAAGCAGTTCTCATTTGTCACAAACGTAACACATCATAGAAACTTTACCTCAAATATATTAATATTTCAAGCAAAAAGTTTTCAGATTGTCCCAAAGTCTCATTATTGAAAAACAAAAATATTGCACAAGAACCCATTTAAGCACTTAGAATTAGTGTTGGGAATTGGTTGAAATTTCCTGATCGATCATCAACTTTGTGTAACCGATCGATAATCGATCAAAATCGATTAATTCTTAAGTGTCTGCTTTTGGATATTATTCAAGTCTTAATACGTATTTTGTGTTATGTTTTAACAGCAATTTACGTAATTACTAAAACTGTTGTACCTACACCATCATTTTGTGTGCTTGTTATTCGTTTATTGCACAGAATACTTTTTAATATAAACAAATGTCGTTTTTTTTAAATAATTTTATTAATGTTGAAAATAATTTCAATGTTGAAATAATCTATTTTCATACATCACGATGATCGATTACAGATTTCTTAATCGATTAATTGATCAAACATCTCAAACAAGTGATACTCGATTAACTCGATTAATCAGAACAACACTACTTAGAACACTTACAATCACCACTACACTGACAAAACTTTTCACAGAAATTTTGAGCGAGTATGCATGGACAAGCTTCATCACAACGCAGACCAGGGTGATCACAAGGCTGATAGTTATAAACTGTCTTTGTAGAGGAATCCTTCTTAAGCTGAATCTTTCTACAGTGCATGGACCATAACCTGCCACAGAACAAAATCTCCATTGTATTTACTGAAATATTTCCAACCCTTCTAGAAGATATTGAGCCAACCAAAAATAGTCATTCAAAGTTCAAAGTGTTGAAATGTTCTTTAACAAAATAGTCATGACTTAAAAATTTTTGAGAATTTCCAGAAGACACATTGGTTGTTTTCATGTATTTGAAAAGTGATGTTTCAACTAATTTCTTCATTGATGTTAAAAAACAGATAAAAAAAAACAACAAAAAGCAAAAACTGGAGCTGATTGCCTCTAGAGCAGGAAAATTCAAGAGCATTATATTGACGATACCTGTGTTTCTTTTTTGTTTTCTTGCGCGGTGGAGTTTGAGCTTTGTCCTCCCCGACATCTGGAATATGTGCTGCTTCCTTCTTAGCAAAGTCATACACCTGTGTCAAATAATGTTCAGATTTATAGTGAAGTCATACGTCTGTGTCAATCATGTTCAGATTGTCTCACAATTATGAATTCATTATTTATTCAGAACAGGTATCAAAACCTGTCTAACACTACAATGTGAACAAAGGTATTTTTGTGCTGCAGAAAGAAAACGTTTAGTTTAAACAGCATTTTATTCAGTATTTTAAACAATATTACACATACAGATATATTACAAATGGGAATAACTGCACTTATTCTCAAAAACCTGCATTTTGACTGCTTTAATTGACAAAAAACCCTCAAAATTGATAGTTTTACTGTATAGCATGTGTGATTTGAGTCTCTAGAATCCTCCACTTATAGAATAGAGGGTCGAAGGGAAACGCCCTGCTTCAACTGCCTTAAACAATTTAGTCTTCATCCTATAAGATTTGGCATATGACATACAGTGGAGTAATGAATCTAGCCACATCCATGTACTCCACACAATTGTTTTCAACAAGTCCCTCCTGAACATCAACAAGTGATTGGTCAGAAATTAGGCGTCCGTAATTAGGGTCAGTTTCAATAATCAGGTAAATACAATGCTCAAAGATGTCTAAATGGAATTCTGTAATTTTATCCTATTCATTCAAGGTAAAAGTAATTTTTCATGGGTTATGGTTTTCACTAATTTGGAAGATGATATGAAATCATAAAACACACCTTGAAAATAAAAATTGATAAAGAAATTATCAGCCTGTTTCCATGAAAAACATAGTGTTTCTACTTTAGTTCATCTTTTAGTAAAAAACTAAAAATATCTAAACAATAAAAAAAACAAGGCAAAACTAAACTAAACGCAAATACAGAAGTAAATTATTAACATGACTGGCCAGTAGAGACTGGCTATTCCCCATTACTTCAGCGCAAAAAGACTGTTCTTTACCTTACTCCCCTATAGATTGGCTGTTCTCTACCTTACTTCAGAACTGACTGACTGTTCTCTACCTTTCTTCAGAACTGACTGACTGTTCTCTACCTTACTTCAGAACTGACTGACTGTTCTCTACCTTACTTCAGAACTGACTGACTGTTCTCTACCTTACTTCAGAACTGACTGACTGTTCTCTACCTTACTTCAGAACTGACTGACTGTTCTCTACCTTACTTCAGAATTGACTGACTGTTCTCAACCTTTCTACAGAACAGATTGTCTGTTCTCAACCTTTACAGAACAGATTGGCTGTTCTCAACCTTTCTACAGCTGAGATAGACCGTTACCACAGTACTACTTTACCTGTTTACAATTCTTGGTACTAATAAGGCGAGCTATGGCGCAGTAGTTGTTCCTATACATGTCGTGAAGAACACGGAATAAAGACTCATCTGCCCCTGTCCAAGCAGGCGTGATCCTTGCTTGCTTTTTTGGCACCAAGAACTCTGCAAAACAGAAGTTATTTAACATTTCTCAGAGCCTTATTTTTAGGATTCATAGTTAAATCAATCATCCAAAGAAATAATTTATTACTTCACCTGAAACATTCCTCTGTAATCAGTGAAGAAAGTAAGTTTACCCCTTTCCTTCATGATATCACCAAACATCTTTTTACAGTAGACTAATTAAAAAGGATTTTGAAAATATCTACTAATTAACTTTGTTGATGTTGTTTTGTTTTTGTTTTTTTTTTTTTGTTTGTTCTATTTTTACATCAAGTCCAAAAATTTTTTAAAATAGATTATCTAAATTTACAAGGAACAAATTCCAGTCTTTTCGGACCAAAAAAGACAAGAGAACACAATCAGCAAAATATTGTACCAACATCATCCAGTACTTACAAGGGGTTTCACTGCTCTAATAGTTCTGTATTGTATACCAGAAATGACAGGCTACACTTAACAGTAAGTTCTTTCTAATAAACCAGAAATGACAGGCTACACTTAACAGTAAGTTCTGTCTAATAAACCAGAAATGACAGGCTACGCTTAACAGTGAAACTACCAGCATTACTTCTCAGATATTTCTGTCTGGTGGATCAGAAATGAGAGGCTACACTTAATAGTGAGACCACCAGCATTACTTCTCCGATAATTCTGTCTGGTGGATCAGAAATGACAGGCTACACTTAACAGTAAGTTCTGTCTAATAAACCAGAAATGACAGGCTACACTTAACAGTAAGTTTTGTCTAATAAACCAGAAATGACAGGCTACACTTAACAGTAAGTTCTGTCTAATAAACCAGAAATGACAGGCTACACTTAACAGTGAGACCACCAGCATTACTTCTCAGATATTTCATCAGAAATGAGAGGCTACACTTAATAGTGAGACCACCAGCATTACTTCTCCGATAATTCTGTCTGGTGGATCAGAAATGACAGGCTACACTTAACAGTAAGTTCTGTCTAATAAACCAGAAATGACAGGCTACGCTTAACAGTAAGTTCTGTCTAATAAACCAGAAATGACAGGCTATGCTTAACAGTGAAACCACCAGCATTACTTCTCAGATATTTCTGTCTGGTGGATCAGAAATGAGAGGCTACACTTAATAGTGAGACCACCAGCATTACTTCTCCGATAATTCTGTCTGGTGGATCAGAAATGACAGGCTACACTTAACAGTAAGTTCTGTCTAATAAACCAGAAATGACAGGCTACGCTTAACAGTAAGTTCTGTCTAATAAACCAGAAATGACAGGCTACGCTTAACAGTGAAACCACCAGCATTACTTCTCAGATATTTCTGTCTGGTGGATCAGAAATGAGAGGCTACACTTAATAGTGAGACCACCAGCATTACTTCTCCGATAATTCTGTCTGGTGGATCAGAAATGAGAGGCTACACTTAACAGTAAGTTCTGTCTAATAAACCAGAAATGAGAGGCTACACTTAACAGTAAGTTCTGTCTAATAAACCAGAAATGACAGGCTACACTTAACAGTAAGTTCTGTCTAATAAACCAGAAATGACAGGCTACACTTAACAGTAAGTTCTGTCTAATAAACCAGAAATGACAGGCTACGCTTAACAGTAAGTTCTGTCTAATAAACCAGAAATGACAGGCTACGCTTAACAGTGAAACCACCAGCATTACTTTTCTGATATTTCTGTCTGGTGGATCAGAAATGACAGGCTATACTAAACAGTAAGATCAATGCTCTGATGAGTATAATTTACCAGGTGCATCATTGCTCTCCTCTCCACTGCTGGGCCCTCCGTAGTATTTCCTTTTTTTGCCAGCTATTGGTGAACTAGTGCCACATTCCCTTCTCTCCAGTCTATCTCCTTTCTCCCACCTCTCCACATCAGCGATAGTAAGCTCCTTTTCTTGTTTAATACTGATCTGAAATAGTAATTAACATTCAGATTTTTAGTAAAGGGAACAATTTATGTTTATTATTAAAACAGGAAGAAGCCTGAAGGGGACAAAACAACTCCACAAAGCTGGATTTGGCCACTCAAAGGTTTTTGAATTTTACACAAAATGGCCACCTTCTTTTTCTAACATTTACAAAACACCTCTGAAAATGGTCTTTTGCTCTCAGCTCCCAAGATTTTTCCCTTTCATCATATAAACTAGTTTCTTTACATTCCAGATTGGTAAAACTTTGTATTCTTATTGAAAATGGAGGAAGGAGCCGATGCCAGTCCAGTAAGTAAGATAGGATCCTCAGGTTGGTTAATCACTGTAGGGTGGATACCGAAAGGTATGCAGGGAGTCACTTAATAATATAATTAAAACATTGTAGTAGAAGTGAACTCAACATCAACCAGCTTCAAATGGTTAAGTAGTATTGCACCTACTTAACCTTTTGAAGCTGGTTGATGTTGAGTTCACTTCTACTACAATGTTTTTTTTGTATTCTTATGATATAACATCTATTTTGAAAAGGTCAACTGATTATCTATCTTATGTTGTTATAAAATAGGAAAATTGCAATCTTTAATACCCTGGTTTAAGTAAGAACTTATAACAACTCTATATTTTTATTGATGCATTTGTTCTAATGTAATTTTCGATCCATTTTAAGTGTCACCATTAATAACTGTTGAATAGCTCTGCTGATTGGTGTCCCCCTAAAATAGAGAGTGATATTAGTAACCTCTGAAGAAGTGATGGGAAATTTAAACCTGATTATCAATTAAAACAGGATAGGATTTTCATGTAGTTAATTTATTATATAATAGGATGAATGTGTGTTCAATAGACATAGAATGCATTCTCTCTGTGGCAGTAATGTTTTCTTTCTAGTCATTTAAAATCTATAATACGTCACTCACCTAAAATTTACATAAGAATGAATATTATTGGCTATTGGCTTCTATATTACACGATATAAATTTTGTTTTTGCTAAAACACAAGAAAGTATTAAGGTTCAAATGGTCGATTATGAAAATGAACAAACGATCATCACATCAGTTGAGGTTAAACAATTAGATAATTATATAGATCACTACGATTAACCCTGTGAATGATGATAAACACCAACCATATGTAGGTAGCAGTCTAGACCACAGGGATCGTTCTCTGTACGAGCCTCCGGAATTTTTCTGCTCAGCATGCTCGGGGTTGGATGGTATGCTGCAAAGGAATTGAGTGTATTATCATACTATTAATCTAATACTTTTAAGTGTTTGCTCTCAACACAAATTTCACATTTTCGTTTTTGGAATTTTGAATGACATGCAGTGGTATTGGTCATGGAATAAAAAGTTATCATTTCATAAATTCAAAGGGATGAGTGTCAATTTAACATCTAATATTTCATCTTGATTTTTTGTAAAACATTCATAGATAATTTTATAATTCTACAAAAATAAACCTTCCTTGAAACATTTGATTAGAAAATACTTACGATGTAAAAAGCAGTCGTACTTGAAACATCTCCTACAAAACAGGGTGTGGAAGGAATGCATAGTCTGTGCTCTAGGGACTGACTGGGCATTAGGACCATCAATGTTGGGTGTACACTCAGGAGGCAGAGCGGTCGAATCTCTAAGTTCTATTAATTCCCGGTATCTAAAACACAAACAGATATTTTGGGTGATTTTGAGGACTCTAATTAAAAATCTTACACAAATTCAACAAAAAAAATGATTAAAAACTCATTGGACTTTCAAAACATCTTAATTCACTTAACCTTGACATGATCAGTCTCACTAAAACCTTACTTGTCCTTTAGAGAGTCAGTTGTGCCTCTCTCTGGAAACTGGCTGGATATAGCTTCAAATATCATATCACTCGGGAACACACTTTTTGTGAGGTCTTCACTGCATTCTGCCATCCCTGTAGATTCTAAAACTCCAACAAAAAGCATTTTGTATATTCACTGATGTGCACACTTTTTAATCATCAAAAATAATAATTACATTGGCTATAAAAGCTCAATAATAGAGAATTCAGATGAAGATATGTGTGGCTCAATCTCTACCCAGAACAGTTTGTGTTTCAGGTGAAGATCTGAAATGTGTGTCTAGATCTCTACCTATTTCAGCTTGTGTTCCTGAGAAAGTTGAGAACACAGATCATAATCGATGGACGATGTTTAGTGGCTGTACCTTATCTGATGTGATGATTGATTGTAACTTTTCAAAATGGATTATATGTATGTTAATATTATCTTGTATTTTAGCAAAAACTGAATTCATGTAATGCTTTATTAAGATGACAATCCCAAATTATATTCATTCAAATGCAAACTCTAGGTAAGTGAGGTATAGTAACAGGAAAAGAAGAGAAAAAAAAGCTTTCACTTTCTACAAATATTAAATTACTGATACATTGCTGATATTTTCACTCATCCCTTTCAGGGCTCTCAATCTGCCAGATTTGGGGCCAAATATCGGCCACATTCCTAATGCAAAATAGAATTTTTTTCCCAATTTAGACCCCAAGTTTTCCCAATTCTAAGGAAAACACCCTTATTTTTCCCAATTCTAAGGGCCCCGGGCCCCAGTCCCAAAATGGGGTGTGAGAGCCCTGACTTTCTTTGGTGACATCACATATGACATCATTAGCTAACAGTACAATAGCAATAATATAAATTTATGTAAGAGGTGGTTTTGATGAGGGGTAATTATGCTATAAACCGCAACATATAACTACTTCGAATACTTTCAGTTTAAAAGTCTATGAATGACCTAAAGACTTTGAAAATTAGTTTTCTTTTACAAACTCCCACTTTTGGATAAATATCACACCCCTAGGGAACTTATTAAATTTCTTTGGACTTTGATGAAAATTTGACAAGGAAATATTATCACTATATTACATTATACATTATATCACAAATATTACACAGAATTTACCTTCTAACAATAGAAACTGTAAGGAACTAAAATAACATAGCTCTATGATGTCTTATTGGTTCCATTTATACATACCTTTGTGTTCTGCATCTTCCTGGTCAGGGTCAGGATAATTGAGCCACAGGGAATTGACAAGTTCTACAAAAGTCTCATCATCTAAACTATTGGAGTTTTTCTCTCCGTGGACTTTTCCATCATAGTTCTTTAGGAGTTCCTCGATAAAAGCTCCATCCTTATCTAATATATCGTCACCCATATATGGGATGTTATGAAGAACAGTTTCATCTTCAACCTGTTCACAAAAGACAAAGGTTTAATTATTTAATTTTACACATTTCTAACTTACTATAATCATCGACAACTAACCAAAGTCTGGTAATTTTAGCTATAAATACAGTCAAACATGACTTAGCATCCACCTGAATTAAACTTTCTGTCATATGTGATCACATGACAATCACATAAATAAGCTGTGCTTCCCAAACTCAAGTTAATTCATGATGCCTATCATAATAAACAAATCTAACTTGTCTGATGTTTTCATAGAACCTGTATTAAGACACCACCTGTTATATGTGACCTTATCTATTGATTCCCTTTGAAGGTTACAGGTGACACGTTTGACTGCAGTTACAGGCGACAGGTTTGACTGCAGTTACAGGTGACAGGTTTGACTGCAGTTACAGCTGACAGGTTTGACTGCAGTTACAGGTGACAGGTTTGACTGCACTTGCAATTTAGAAAACACAATAAAATCTGTTTACTAAAACTATAATTATAGTGATCTTGTTTGTTCACCTAAATAAAATTTGCTGTCAAATATTATTTACTGAAATCTGCACTGAACATTCTTACCATGTAGTTCTGTTGTAATTGAGCCCAACTGTACATGGTAGGGATGGGCTTGACAATGTTCATCACTCGTAGAGAAACAGACATGGTTTGATTAAACATACCACTCTTTACCTCACACTGAAATAAAGACAGGTTTAAATTAATCACATTTACAACATATACTTTAGTATCAACAACATAACATAAAAAATCTCTTGATGTAATTGGGAAATTTTCCAATTACATGATCATACATCATCATTTCTCAAATTATCAACAATAAAATGAAAAAAAAAGTTATTCATCAAAGCACTGTCATTTAAATTAGTAAACCAGGTGGATGTTTTCAATTCTTAAAAGCTAATTACATTTTACAGAAATGTTTAAAACTTGTTTACAGAGCAAAATCATTTTTTGTGAATCATTATTCATCAATAGCTGTCATAGCTTCAAGAACATTTTGAAAATGACTGTCATCTAATAAGAGTCTGCCATTCGAAAGGTTCACGATGAAAACTCTCCAAAACTCTAATGATGGTCACCATTTTCTACTCTTAGTGACAAACGTTAGAAGAAATATATTTCTTCACTACACCAATATTTGCAACAACCACATGATTATGATATATATCTACAGAATACATGGTCAGTGTCTTAAAATATAAGCTGAATTTTGACGAGGATGAAGAGAGACAAAAGCGACAAGTCTGTGGTAAGCCAATTTTGTCTTTGTGTCCAGAGCAAAATTGTAGCTTATATTTTCTGATACTTACAAAATATTCAACTTATCCTGCAACATTTACTGAAAATTCAGACTATTGGAAGTTTCAATTTGTTCGGTCTTTTCAATGTTCCTTAATACCCAACTTTGATGTTACAATGAATTTTCGAAAAAAAATACTCAACAGAGAAATATAGTTCCACACCACCATGGATATAACAAGCACTTTCCGTTTAGTACTGTAAATAAACTTGTTTGTTACACCAAATATAACTGCTTATTTAAACATTATACATATTTTACATTCAATATTGAAGTAATTCAGAAAAGCATGTTAAAGTATAGCTGTTTTCCATCACTGCCGAATACAGCAAAAGTATACTTGGTAGGTGTATTCCGACAATGGCAGCGCAGTTGCAGGATAGATATCACTATCTGAATGCTGACCCTGGTACATGATGCTTAAGGTTTGTTCTCATTATAGTTTTTGTAGAAGAAATTCCAAATATTTACCACAATACATAAAACAACACAGAAATCATGGACAGTCTGACTGATAGTGATCAATCAACAGTTTCACAAGTCCTTTTCAACTTGATAAAAAACAATGGGTCTCACAACGTAACATTGAAGTATTTCTAGAAATACTACAAGTCTCATTAGGACTCGGAATATGTAGATTTATCACAGCTGATATTGTATGTGGCTATTTGATGTAATCAGATCTCACAGCGAGGCTGAAACCTTTTGTATTCATTTAATGTAATGCCTCACAGGTCAATATCCACATCACCTTATCTCTGTTTTCACTGATGAGTAAAGGAATTTTTGAATATACAACATACTAAACAAGTACTGTCATACCTTTCTAGTTACAGGAACATGACTAAAGGTCTCTGGGGTATGAAGTGACTGGATTGGCTGTTGTTTTAACCATCCGCTGTTTACCTCCTGTTGTTGATTGATGAACTGTCTGTTCAAGGTAAATGCAGTCTGAAAAATACAGCTTTGGCTATGTAGCAACATCATACATAAAATATATCTTAAGAAAATATTCAGCATTATGTGACATAAAGCAATGACAATAGTAACATATTCTGCAGATTACTTGTATCGTTCATTTGTGTGCCAAACACATTTGTATCTCATTTAACCATATACCCTTTCCCCCAACCCAAAAAAAAAATAAACAAACAAACAAAAAAGTACATCCAAAAACAAACAGTACCTTAACTTCATCTGCTCTTTTGAATCGTTTTAAATGACGTATCCTCATAAATTCTGATCGAACACGTTTTTTCCAGTCAATGACATGTTTCTCTCCAGCTTCACTCTCTGTGTCTGTTCCCAGTAATGTAGACTTCATTGTGGAGTCTACAGAATCATGAGTTGTCACAGATATGGTCTCAATGTCTGCCATCTGTAAAAAACAGTTTTAAAAATTAAAATGTCAACTACATTGAAATTAGAATTATCAGAAAAAAAACATACTGACAAAGAATAGAAATTCCAGTCGTCTACAAAATACTAAACTTGGGTTTTTTTAATTTTTAGATAATTATCAAATCTAACAGAGTATATGGACAAATTAAGGTGGATATAACACCCTTGTGCATGTTTTAGACAATTAAGCTATTCAATGCTGACTGTTCATAATTTTTGGACTCTTAGATGGATACTTATGAACTTTTCCTTGACATTCAAATTGACATTAAATTCATATTTCACGTGTTCTCATCATGTCACCCAACTTGATTCTTTTTCTTTTTTTTTTTTTTTTATTATTCTCTCTTTTTTGTATGACCATCAACATAATACCCAGATCCTAATAAGATTATCATCACATACCCAGTCGCTTGCCTCTCAACCAATAGAAGACAAATAATGTGAATATGCGATATCTACACAATATCATCTGCTTTTATATGTTATAAGCAATGTTTGTTGGTAGTGAGTTATAAAAATAGCTATTGAAATATATTTTGTCCTTCTCGTGATGTAGTCGTGCATACAATTGGGTGTTGAATTTCTCTAAAACAGTGACGGAGTCTGATGGATAAGATGCGACCCCACAAGAAGCTGAGCGACAATGTAATGCAACAGGCATTCTCTCATCATCGTCAAAGGTTTCTTATTTTATGATATTCACAAACCACGTATACAGTTGGATGAATATGGGAAATGTAGGACAGAAAAGCGTCAAGTGTCATTCGCTAACTCGAGAGAGGACAGAAAAAAACATATCCTAAGGTACGAGGGGAAGAATTCATTTTGAAAGTTGAAACGTGCGTAAGGGCTACATCCACTTTATCGATGATGTACAGTAATCGATAAAAGCTACAGCGGCATTCTAGAAATCAAACTAGCCCATCGTGTTAAAAGATATGTGAAACAATGTAGCGTATTACCTTTGTAACAAAAGTATGGCTGAAATCACAGATAATTACAAAGACGGCATCACATTGTTAGGAAACTGCCGCCACCTTGTCCAAAGTGCCACCTAGCGGTGACATCATTCCGTTCGGAACAACCAGAGTTTTCATAATAAACAAAGACGTATCAAAAGCAACCCTTGATACTCTATAGTCTGTTTCAATTATTGTGTAAAAAGGAGGGAAATATTATTCTACTATGTAAAGCACTCTCTCTCCTATATATCAGAACTGTAGATGCTGATAAGTATGACCAACGAATGATTATGTAACGTCATGGGATATAAATAGATTCGGTTGAAGATGCCAGCGGTACCTATGTTTAGTTTACACGACCCTTTCCCTGAAGACGACTGTTTAAAATTTCACACTTTATCATAAAACACAATAGCAAACATCCAATATTTCTCTCCATTTAAAACAAGTTTTTGTGAATTATTAGAAATGATTTATTTATTTCATGTTTCAATTTTTCAATGTAGCCAATTTTCAACCAATGTTTGATAAGTTCCATTGAGGGTATTGTCTCATTGAGGTTTCAATATGTAACATAAATTATGATATTGCGGATTATACTTGAGCCGAGCCTCCGGTTATACGCATATATTGGACTTACTTTTGAAATCTCCAGTCAATATGAAAAATTGAGAAAAGTATATAGAATTTTAGGGTCATTGTAATTTCCCATCAATATATTTTACAATCCTGGACCCTCAGCAACCTAAGTCTCTAACGGAGCTGTGTGATACAAACGGAGAAAACAGCTGTATGATACAAACGGGGAAAACAGCTGTGTGATACAAACAGAGAAAACAGCTGTATTACACAAACGGAGAAAACAGCTGTATGATACAAACAGAGGAAACAGCTGTATTACACAAACGGAGAAAACAGCTGTATGATACAAACGGAGAAAACAGCTATATGACACAAACGGGGAAAACAGCTATATGATACAAACGTGGAAAACAGTTGTATGATACAAGCAGAGAAAACAGCTGTATTACACAAACGGAGAAAACAGCTGTATGATACAAACGGAGAAAACAGCTATATGACACAAACGGGGAAAACAGCTGTATGACACAAACGGGGAAAACAGCTGTATGATACAAACAGAGAAAACAGCTGTATGACACAAACGGAGAAAACAGCTGTATGACACAAACGGAGAAAACAGCTATATGATACAAACGGAGAAAACAGCTGTGTGATGGAGAAAACAGCTGTATTAACAAAGAGAAAACAGTTGTATGACAGAGAAAACAGCTAACGGGGAAAACAGCTGTATGAAAACACTGTATGACACTAACGGGGAAAACAGCTGTATGACACAAACGGGGAAAACAACTGTATGACACTAACAGAGAAAACAGCTGTATGATACTAACAGAGAAAACAGCTGTATGATACAAACGGAGAAAACAGCTGTATGATACAAACGGAGAAAACAGCTGTATGACACAAACGGAGAAAACAGTTGTATGATACAAACGGGGAAAACAGATGTGTTAGTTTGCTTGTTAATACAGAAAGGAATCGTAGTTCCGAGTGAGACATCTTCTGTCTTCGGGTTGTCATTACCCAGCACCTCGCAGTAATGTATGTTATGGCATTGTCACAGCCCGAATAAAACAAAAAGCACATACATAAAGAAACAAATAGGCCTCATAAGAACATTCACATTTTTAATTGAAGTTTGAATGTCAGACAATTCCACAGCAACTTTTGTTTTTATTTATTTTTTTTTTTTATTTTTCTCTAATGAGTTTTTCTTTGTGCTTCATCTATTTTTTTTCTTTTCGTTTTTTTTTTTCTTTTAAGCTCGGGATTCTGTGATTATATATTTCAATTACATTGGATTCTGCTACTTTTTCTGAAGTAAAATGTATTCCGTTCTAAGTTCTCTTAATAAACATTTGTCCTTGAAATGGTTGGTTGTTAGTAATTGGTTGGTTGCCCGCCCTATGAGCAGTGTCAGTAATTTTGAGGTGGATTTTCTGTAGTTACTGGTGGCTACGTCACTGAACAACTGGTGGCTACGTCACTGAACAACTGGTGGCTACGTCACTGAACAACTGGTGATTACGTCACTGAACAACTGGTGGCTACGTCACTGAACAACTGGTGGCTACGTCACTGAACAACTGGTGGCTACGTCACTGAACAGCTGGTGGCTACGTCACTGAACAACTGGTGGGATGCATATGGCTATTCCACGGTAATCAGGTGTCCTCGAAGTCCGGAATACTACCTAGTTTCCTGATGAGAAGCCGAGATAGCACACACGTACTTCCGGGATCTCCAACTGGAGTTGTAGAGTCTGATTCGTGTGGTAATTAGACTAGGAGGGTTATTTCGTTTATTTTATTTTGTTTCTTTGTTTGTTTGGACGTTTATACGAGCCTGGGTACTGTTAGGAATCAAACGATTGGATTGAAAAAATATCAGTTTACACAGATCACGTGAGAGCGGACCATGAATGTTACTCTTTATTTCAGTGAAGGTCAGAATGCAGCGGAAAGGTATTTCCTTTACACCATTTAGCTGTCCAGATTTAGAACAAGTTTAATCATGTATAGTAAAGAATGATGAATATTCTGTTGTGAAAATAAAGCTGTGTCTTCAGGTGTTACCAAAATTGATCTGAAAAAGGTAAAATTATCTCTTATGGAATAATAGGTTAATGGTATGTAGAATTGTGGTCAAAATGTCGTCGGCGTGTGAGCAAGTGTTTTTCCTGATACATGACAATGAATAATTCGAACATTACTTTTTGGGTTTTTTTTGTGTTCTACCCAAAGCTTGAAAATAATTCGAGATATTTTAGTTTAAATGTTGTCACATCTTTTTACGTTCCTGAATAATTTCTGGTTGTTTCTTCACAATAGCACAATGGCATACATATAGAATATATCAACTACATGTCAAGGTTAGTACAGCGAATCATGACAGTGGTAAATTATAACGAAATCCACCACTGTGCTGCCGATCCAAAAGAAAACCAAAAACAAAAATCTGTGAATTCCTTGCACCAAGTACGCGTCAGAAAGCTGTACATGTCTAAACGTCATTAACAAGCATTGTACAGGAAGTCTAAACTTGCAGTAGATATTATCACTGTTCATTGTTCATTAAACTGTCACACTTGGATCGTAAGACATCGACACAAAGCATGGTCGTGTTCACATTGTTAGTTTCACCCGCAAATAATTGCCTTGAATACTTCGGTATTCTTCTGTTTAATCACAATATTCAATGTTTTCGTCCCAATCGATCGTTCACTATTGTAATAATTTTCGTCCAAAACATTTTCATGTGATAAGGATATAGTAAAGTATCTGAAAGTGATACCTTCAATCATTTTATTGTTGTGGTGTTATCAAGCTTGCATATCTTTGGACCAACTAGTAACACAATAGCGACTGAGTTATAAAATTTGAAACAAACTATAACTATCGTACTCCGCGAAAAAAAATCTTCACGCATGAATGGGAACAGATGACCGTACAGTAAGACGGGCATATCACTTATAACAATCGCTTACTGTAATTACTGACAGGACTCCTCAGAAGAACCGAAACACTAAATCGATGGATTCTTGATAAGTGTCTGTCCTGTCGTAGGAAAGTGTGAACTTCGAATCAAGGAAGATTCGCACTTGTCGATTGAAGAAGAGAGAGAGATACAGAGAAACCTTGGGAGTTACTATTATGGCTTCGTCAAGTGCTAACGCTAGCACACAACCCGTCCTTTCACCAGCGACAGTGTCCGGTCAGAGACGTACCTCTGCTCCATCTGTCAAAGATTCCAAGACTTCGAAACAAACCAAAAACCACAGCTCAAGTGCCAAAAGGTAATACAGTATAAGCCTAACTAGAGTAATACGTTGTAAAGTGAAATGGTATTGTAACCCCGTGGGAGCCTCTTGTAGTATATATCTCATTTGCATATAAGCTTTAACGGGCCACTACTTGAAAAGAGTTTTGTTTTTGGTTTAATTATTTATATCGATTTGTTCTATCAACATTAGTTTTTATGTTGCCGTGAGCAAGTTTGATTAAATATTTAGGATTTACAAGAAAATATGTCGGAAATATTTGCCACTAATGCATGAGGCCATATAAAGGGGACAATCGACATTCCAACTTAACAGGGTCCGCTCATTGTGTAAACGTAACTGAATATAATCACAGATAACAAGTGATGTGTCAATTGATACTGTTGGGTTTAGGTCTGGTCACTGTAGAATAAACAAGATCACGAAAAATTAAAATCCGCTGTGTCTGAAATTACAAGAAGATTATCTTGAGAAAGTCTTTCTATACATTCAGTTAATGGAGTGAAACACAAGCACCTGTGGTTTTGTCAGTTATATTCCAGTTGTAGACGCTATTTCCTTCTGACCATATTGGTATAACTTATAACCTCTGTGACCTATAACTGTGCCAAATTCACTGTCGAAATCAGATATGTGGGTGGTCCAGTTACGATGCTGTATACTTATGTAGTATAACAATGGGGTATATATATCTAGACAAGGTCATTTGAAAATAGTAGCATTGTTGTGAGAATAACATCATTATCACTACATATATGTATACCCAATTCACGATGAAACCACCTGGCAACAGAGCCTGCTATTTTAAATGTTTGAATGTAGAATAGATATTTAAATTGGATACATGTAGTTCTCTTGTGTTTCAAATGATTCAGACGTTTTATCAACCAAGCTTTCTTATAATATTGATCTGCGGTTAAGAATTTTATTTTAAAAAAAGTTGATATGAAACATTCAAATGTTAGGATGATATGGACTATTCTCAGGGCGTAAAGTTAACATAAATTGTGTGCAGATTGCTAAATATCCAAGTCTATTGCGGAGGTCAAATGTAAGTTTCCTTGAATATAGGGAGTCAGGGAATTCTCACAGTGAAGTATTACATTACTATGGGAATATATGAACTATTATTTCCTGTAACACAATTATATTTCTTTCTGTACGGTTTGCCAGTAACAGTCACCCTGTGGGATAGCAGAGTCCCTTTAAACAGATAAAACAGGAAACATTTCTGTCATTAGTGGAAGTTCAGTGCTTAAGATTTCTATTCTTGTTAAAATAGTATCAGCTGTACATGTACAGTATTAAAGACAACTGTATATGTACTGTTGGCTCTACTGCTTGACACTCTAGTCTTAAGGTTGTGCACACCTGTAAGTAACTCACTGGGAACTAGGAAGGGGAGGAGGTAACTCGCTGGGAACTAGGAAGGGGAGGTAGTAAGTCGCTGGGAACTAGGAAGGGGAGGTAGTAAGTCGCTGGGAACTAGGAAGGGGAGGTAGTAAGTCACTGGGAACTAGGAAGGGGAGGTAGTAAGTCGCTGGGAACTAGAAAGGGGAGGTAGTAAGTTGCTGGGAACTAGGAATCGGAGGTGGTAAGTCGCTGGGAACTAGGAAGGGGAGGTAGTAAGTCGCTGGGAACTAGAAAGGGGAGGTAGTAAGTCACTGGGAACTAGAAAGGGGAGGTTTGTTCTTTGTCCATTTCACTTTTTTTGGTGTCTTAGCATTCTGCCTCCTTTAGTACTTGTCAATGACACTTAAAACTGCTTCTTGGTAAGGTAGTGTTTGATTACACTGTCACAATCAATAATACATTCGTATTACACACAGTCAATAATACATTTGTATTACACACAATCAACAATACATTTTGTATTACACACTATCAACAATACATTTGTATTACACACTATCAACAATACATTTGTATTACACACTATCAACAATACATTTTGTATTACACACTATCAACAATACATTTGTATTACACACAGTCAACAATATTACACACAGTCAACAATACATTTGTATCACACACAGTCAACAATACATTTTGTATCACACACAGTCAACAATACATTTTGTATTACACATACATATTATATATGTAAGTATGATACATTTTGGATGGGAAAACATGCTTAAAAAGATTTGATTTGGATGTTAAAATAAAGAGCTTGCAAAACTTGTTTTTAAAGTTCAAACTGGTTTTTTAGTTAAGAAATGCTGATAAGATGTCCTTTTCAGCATTTGCATTAACATTCAAACATAATAAAATGATCACTTTATGTATGGGAAGTGAGTATACATATAAACGCAGAACATGTTTCCTTTATTAGACATATCTACCACAAAACAGGTTCATAACCATTAAGCTGAAGGTTTGAAATGTAACACAGATACCAAAATAAGCAGGAAATGCACAGGTTAAATGTGAATTAAAAAATATGTATACCGGTAATATCTGATATAGGAAACCTGATGTACTGAATAGTAATTATATATAATAACCCTATCCATTACATGGAAGTTTTAAACCTCAACACCAAGAGATAGTTTTTAGTAGACATGTTAGGAGGTGAATTTACTTTTTAAATTAATTGTTATTTTAATGTTCAGGGCTCTCACACCCCATTTTTGGACTGGGGCCCGTGGCCCTTAGAATTGGGAAAAATAACAGTGTTTTTCTTAGAATTTGGTAAACTTGGGGTCTAAATTGGGAAAAAAATACTATTTTGCATATTCGGCCCCAAATCTGGCAGATCGAGAGCCCTGATGTTGTAATTTTAATGAAGCATTTTAGTTTAATTTGATTTTTCTTTAATTTAATTTCTCATAAATATTTATGTGTTTCGACTCTTCTTTCAGACAAAGCTATGGTATATGTCTGTCGTTGATTATGCTTACCATCATTAGATAGTGGATTATTAAAATCACCCTTTGTTAGTGTTTCATCTGTAAACAATAATTGTTATCGCTGTTATTGAGAAGAACTGGATTGTATGTAAGCTCACCTTTGTCCCGAGTTTATCAGTGTCTATATTTGGGATCGATGGAAAGACATCTCTCCTTCTAGGGCTTTGTTTGTTAATTTTCCTGGTAAAACACTGTTGTCTCAGATTTAACTTGTTAGTTTCTCAGGTAAAACAATGATGTGTATGATTTTATTTGTCAGTGTCCCTGGTGAAAGTATGATGTCTCAGATTTCATTTGTCAGTTTCTCAGGTGACACGACAGTGTCCCAGATTTCACTTGTCAGTTTCCAAGGTAAAACAATGATGTGTATTATTTCATTCGACACTTTCTCTGGTGACAAGAGGATGTCCCAGATTTCACTTGTCAGTTTCCAAGGTAAAACAATGATGTGTATTTTTTCATTCATCAGTTTCTCAGGTGACACAACAGTGTCCCAGATTTCATTTGTCAGTTTCCCTGCTGAAACAGTGATATCTCAGATTTCATTTTTCAGTTTCCCTGCTGAAACAGTGATATCTCAGATTTCATTTTTCAGTTTCCCAGGTGAAACATTGATATCTCAGATTTCATTTGTCAGTTTCCCTGCTGAAACAGTGATATCTCAGATTTCATTTGTCAGTTTCCCTGGTGAAACAGTGATATCTCAGATTTCATTTGTCAGTTTCCCTGGTGAAACAGTGATATCTCAGATTTCATTTGTCAGTTTCCCTGGTGAAACAGTGATATCTCAGATTTCATTTGTCAGTTTCCCTGGTGAAACAGTGATATTTCAGATTTCATTTGTCAGTTTCCCTGCTGAAACAGTGATATCTCAGATTTCATTTGTCAGTTTCCCTGCTGAAACAGTGATATCTCAGATTTCATTTGTCAGTTTCCCTGGTGAAACAGTGATATCTCAGATTTCATTTGTCAGTTTCCCTGGTGAAACAGTGATATCTCAGATTTCATTTGTCAGTTTCCTTGGTGAAACAGTGATATCTCAGATTTCATTTGTCAGTTTCCCTGGTGAAACAGTGATATCTCAGATTTCATTTGTCAGTTTCCCTGGTGAAACAGTGATATCTCAGATTTCATTTGTCAGTTTCCCTGGTGAAACAGTGATATCTCAGATTTCATTTGTCAGTTTCCCTGGTGAAACAGTGATATCTCAGATTTCATTTGTCAGTTTCCCTGGTGAAACAGTGATATCTCAGATTTCATTTGTCAGTTTCCCTGCTGAAACAGTGATATCTCAGATTTCATTGTCAGTTTCCTTGGTGAAACAGTGATATCTCAGATTTCATTTGTCAGTTTCCCTGGTGAAACAGTGATATCTCAGATTTCATTTGTCAGTTTCCCTGGTGAAACAGTGATATCTCAGATTTCATTTGTCAGTTTCCCTGGTGAAACAGTGATATTTCAGATTTCATTGTCAGTTTCCCTGGTGAAACAGTGATATCTCAGATTTCATTTGTCAGTTTCCTTGGTGAAACAGTGATATTTCAGATTTCATTTGTCAGTTTCCCTGGTGAAACAGTGATATTTCAGATTTCATTGTCAGTTTCCTTGGTGAAACAGTGATATCTCAGATTTCATTGTCAGTTTCCTTGGTGAAACAGTGATATCTCAGATTTCATTTGTCAGTTTCCCTGCTGAAACAGTGATATCTCAGATTTCATTTGTCAGTTTCCCTGGTGAAACAGTGATATCTCAGATTTCATTGTCAGTTTCCTTGGTGAAACAGTGATATCTCAGATTTCATTTGTCAGTTTCCCTGGTGAAACAGTGATATCTCAGATTTCATTTGTCAGTTTCCCTGCTGAAACAGTGATATCTCAGATTTCATTTGTCAGTTTCCCTGGTGAAACAGTGATATCTCAGATTTCATTTGTCAGTTTCCCTGGTGAAACAGTGATATCTCAGATTTCATTTGTCAGTTTCCCTGGTGAAACATTGATATCTCAGATTTCATTTGTCAGTTTCCCTGCTGAAACAGTGATATCTCAGATTTCATTTGTCAGTTTCCCTGATGTTGTGATATAGCTGTATGATATATTCATCTGCCAATACAACAAAGAATTAGAAAGCAATAAAAAGAAAAGATTAGAAGTGATCCATCTTACATATAGAGTCAAGAAAGATGATGTGATGGTTGATACCAACATCCTTCTGGAATCTGTTTTAATTAGGAACAATATTGCAATTTTGTTGCATCAACACCTTATAAGATTAAAAACATATCAAACAAGCTGAATTCAGATTAGAAAAAAAATCGCTGCAAATTATTTAAAATTCTGCAGATGAATCCCGCAGACAGTTGTAGAAAATTATTGAAACATAGTATGATACTGAAACCAACCACTTAATGGTAAGACGCATATTGAAATTTATTGTGATTTATCGACTATTGTGATGGTTTTACTCACCCTTACTTGTCCAATATCATCATTGTTGAAATTCATTCATATTTCATATACCCATATGCCTTTAAGCTTATAGCTTCATACTTCTGTTAAATCTGTACAGACTTCTGTAGCATGGTAGGAATTCTAGATCAGCATTAAACTGATAGATTTGTAGCAATCCACTAGAGTATGAGGCCAGAGGCAAATTGATTTTATATGAAGGCAGTATATACAGAAATAGAAAACAATTTATTATAGACAATTTAAAATCTTTTTGCTTACTAATACTATCAGTGTGGAATCATGTGGATCATCTATAGTTCATAGACAATTTAAAATCTTTTTGCTTACTAATACTATCAGTGTGGAATCATGTGGATCATCTTACTGTTTAATTCTTAATTATTATCTTATTCTAAATTCAATGGATGTGGTCATTCGCAACAAACTTAGGATCTTCAGTTTAATATCTTTAATATTTACATTTACTGGTTTTGCCCGAACATTTTGGCTTCTTCAGGACAAATTGTTGTTTACAATATACCCCTAAAGCACTCTAAATGTGGTATTTTTTATACTGTTCATTGTGACGTTATAGATAATAGTCCTATGACTAGAACTATGAATGGTAACTCAAGATGTATGTAACGTTTCCTACTCATGTTCTATCAGCGAACAATCCTGGGATTAAACTGGTGGGATCACACTGTTCATATCCAACTTATTATAATTTATATCAATATTCTGTTATAGACTATCAAATCATCATTCTAAACATAGTATAGACAAGGATAACAATATTACTGTTATTTAAAATAAAACTTTAGGGAGATTATGGAACCTACAGTACTTTCATGAGAAGAACAGCGTTAGCTTGACACCTTTAGTGATGTTGATTCTAAATTTTGTGTAAAATCTGCTGTTCTATTGTGTATCTTTTGCATAATTGTCCAGGAGTTGCTTCCCTTTACTAATTGTGAAAGCAATTCTAACAGAGGGTGTTGGGTCTGATCTGGAACTTTGCTGAGGTTCTGAAGTCAAATTCTTACCTCAAGGGTAGAAACACCATACACTGATTATTTTTACCTAATTAAAGCAAGTCACTTTAGTTCTCTTTGCATTCTTTCTGAAACTTTGATGCAGTGTTAATTGAGGTCATTAGTTAAGATGGGATACAGTGAGGTACATAACCACATGTGATGATGATTAACAATTTACATCATTTTATAAACTTTATTTATTTGACAACAATTGTGAAATAAGTTTTTCTAACTTATATTAAACATGTTTGCCTGGATGGAAGCACATGAGGGGTCTTATTAAGGGGAGAAACCAGAGTACCCGGGGAAAACTTGCATGGTCGAGCATGTGACCCCATATCTTTTCACATCTAACTCCAGACAGTTAGTTATAGGTAGAAGTGGAGGCGTAAACACTGTGCCAACTGACCACCCCATCATTTACATTCTCTTATCCTGTTAAACCTTTTCCATATTATCTCTAATTAATGCCCTTGACACTTACAAATTATTAAAAATAGTTTATTAGGTTGATATAAAAGATGTTTGAAAACCTGACAGAAAAAAAAGAAAAATTATAATTCAGAATGAATGTACTGGTATATAATTATCAGTTATAAGGTTCCAATATTGAGTGTGGATCAGGAATTGGTGCCAAGTTCCTGTGGTTTGTGGTTAACTGCTTATGGATGATCATTTCAAATAAGATTAGAGCTGATTTAAATTTTAATATTAGATTTGAAAGTAATATAATTACAATGTAATAATAAGAGAAAAAGAATATGTGGCATTATTTATAGCAGTTTAGGCAGAAATTTTATAATTACTTTTATAAGGGTCCTGTATCTCAGATTTTACTCTGTTACCTTTACAGGTTACAAAAGGAACTCGCAGAGATCACACTAGATCCTCCACCTAATTGCAGGTAAGTCTAGAAATGTGATGAAATGATGAATTCCTGTCCTGTTGTAGGTAAGAATAGTACTAGAAATGTGAAGGAGTGATGGGTCCCTGTCATGTGGAAGGTAGAATTAGAAATGTCAGACTAAAATATGATGAAATGATGAGTCCCTGTCTTACTGTAAGTCAGACTAAAATATGATGAAATGATGAAACACTGTCTTACTGTAGGTCAGACTAAAATATGATGAAATGATGAGTCCCTGTCTTACTGTAGGTCAGACTAAAATATGATGAAATGATGAGTCACTGTCTTACTGTCAGACTAAAATATGATGAAATGATGAGTCCCTGTCTTACTGTAGGTCCGACTAAAATATGATGAAATGATGAGTCCCTGTCTTACTGTAGGTCAAACTAAAATATGATGAAATGATGAAACACTGTCTTACTGTAGGTCAGACTGAAACACTGTCTTACTGTAGGTCAGAAATAATGAAATGATGAGTCCCTGTCTTACTGACTAAAATATGATGAAATGATGAAACCCTGTCTTACTGTAGGTCAGACTAATATGATGAAATGATGAGTCCCTGTCTTACTGTAGGTCAGACTAAAATATGATGAAATGATGAGTCCCTGTCTTACTGTAGGTCAGACTAAAATATGATGAGTCCCTGTCTTACTGTATGTCAGACTAAAATATGATGAAATGATGAGTCCCTGTCTTACTGTAGGTCAGACTAAAATATGATATGATGAAATGATGAGACACTGTCTTACTGTAGGTCAGACTAACGAATATGATGAAATGATGAGTCCCTGTCTTACTGTAGGTCAGACTAAAATATGATGAAATGATGAGTCCCTGTCTTACTGTAGGTCAGACTAAAATATGATGAAATGATGAGTCCCTGTCTTACTGTAGGTCAGACTAAAATATGATGAAATGATGAGTCCCTGTCTTACTGTAGGTCAGACTAAAATATGATGAAATGATGAGACACTGTCTTACTGTAGGTCAGACTAAAATATGATGAAATGATGAGTCCCTGTCTTACTGTAGGTCAGACTAAAATATGATGAGTCCCTGTCTTACTGTAGGTCAGACTAAAATATGATGAAATGATGAGTCCCTGTCTTACTGTAGGTCAGACTAAAATATGATGAAATGATGAGTCCCTGTCTTACTGTAGGTCTTACTGTAGGTCAAACTAAAATATGATGAGACACTGTCTTACTGTAGGTCAGACTAAAATATGATGAAATGATGAGTCCCTGTCTTACTGTAGGTCAGACTAAAATATGATGAAATGATGAGTCCCTGTCTTACTGTAGGTCAGACTAAAATATGATGAAATGATGAGTCCCTGTCTTACTGTAGGTCAGACTAAAATATGATGAAATGATGTCCCTGTCCCTGTCTTACTGTAGGTCAGACTAAAATATGATGAAATGATGAGTCCCTGTCTTACTGTAGGTCAGACTAAAATATGATGAAATGATGAGTCCCTGTCTTACTGTAGGTCAGACTAAAATATGATGAAATGATGAGTCCCTGTCTTACTGTAAGTCAGACTAAAATATGATGAAATGATGAGTCCCTGTCTTACTGTAGGTCAGACTAAAATATGATGAAATGATGAGTCCCTGTCTTACTGTAGGTCAGACTAAAATATGATGAAATGATGAGTCCCTGTCTTACTTTAGCACAAACTAAAATCTGATGAGAGTCCCTGTCTTACTGTAGGTCAGACTAAAATATGATGAAATGATGAGTCCCTGTCTTACTGTAGGTCAGACTAAAATATGATGAAATGATGAGTCCCTGTCTTACTGTAGGTCAGACTAAAATATGATGAAATGATGAGTCCCTGTCTTACTGTAGGTCAGACTAAAATATGATGATGAAATGATGACTCACTGTCTTACTGTATGTCAGACTAAAATATGATGAAATGATGAGTCCCTGTCTTACTGTAAGTCAGACTAAAATATGATGAAATGATGAGTCCCTGTCTTACTGTAGGTCAGACTAAAATATGATGAAATGATGAGTCCCTGTCTTACTGTAGGTCAGACTAAAATATGATGAAATGATGAGTCCCTGTCTTACTGTAGGTCAGACTAAAATATGATGAAATGATGAGTCCCTGTCTTACTGTAGGTCAAACTAAAATATGATGAAATGATGAGTCCCTGTCTTACTGTAGGTCAGACTAAAATATGATGAAATGATGAGTCCCTGTCTTACTGTAGGTCAGACTAAAAAAATGATGATGACTAAAAAATGAAATGATGAGTCCCTGTCTTACTGTAGGTCAGACTAAAATATGATGAAATGATGAGTCCCTGTCTTACTGTAGGTACTAAAATATGATGAAATGATGAGTCCCTGTCTTACTGTAGGTCAGACTAAAATATGATGAAATGATGAGTCCCTGTCTTACTGTAAGTCAGACTAAAATATGATGAAATGATGAGTCCCTGTCTTACTGTAGGTCAGACTAAAATATGATGAAATGATGAGACACTGTCTTACTGGAGGTCAAACTAAAATATGATGAAATGATGAGTCCCTGTCTTACTGTAAGTCAGACTAAAATATGATGAAATGATGAGTCCCTGTCTTACTGTAGGTCCGACTAAAATATGATGAAATGATGAGTCCCTGAGGTCAGACTAAAATATGATGAAATGATGAACTGTATGACTAAAATATGATGAAATGATGAGTCCCTGTCTTACTGTAGGTCAGACTAAAATATGATGAAATGATGAGTCCCTGTCTTACTGTAGGTCAGACTAAAATATGATGAAATGATGAAAGTCAGATATGATGAGAGTCCCTGTCTTACTGTAAGTCAGACTAAAATATGATGAAATGATGAGTCCCTGTCTTACTGTAGGTCAGACTAAAATATGATGAAATGATGAGTCCCTGTCTTACTGTAGGTCAGACTAAAATATGATGAAATGATGAGTCCCTGTCTTACTGTAGGTCAGACTAAAATATGATGAAATGATGAGTCCCTGTCTTACTGTAGGTCAAACTAAAATATGATGAGTCCCTGTCTTACTGTAGGTACATGTATAAAGACTAGAAATATAGAAATACATGTGATAAATCTCAGAATTCTATGCCTGTCTTGAAATATGATTTTTTATTACATTTTTTATTTTTTCTATAACCCTTTAGAATAGAAACACTTTCTTTATTGTACATATATTCACTCTTAGACATTTTCTCACTGTCGTGAAGTGGCATAATTTTTATGTGGTACGAAGAAAAGAGACAATTTGGCTTGATAGGTCAAATTCCAAACAAGAAATACCATCAATTGTACTAAGACTTACGTTCTAGTATGATGTTTCTTTGTCAATGATTATGACGTTACTGAGTCTGTTTATGGATGAGGTGCAGCATCAATTTTCATCTTTCTTTTTAGTGCTGGACCCAAGGGAGACAACCTATATGAATGGGTGTCCACCATTCTTGGCCCAAAGAGCTCTGTATATGAGGGTGGTGTGTTTTTCTTGGACCTTAACTTTTCACAAGATTACCCATTTAAACCCCCAAAGGTATGTCATTGTAGAATTTCACAAAGATAACAGTGTTTGATACCATTCTGTGTTCTGTTTGTATGAGATGGCACTGTCACCAACTTACCTGATTTTATTAGGTCGACTTGATAGTAACCTTAATATGACCTGAAAATGCAGAAAGTGCTAGAATCACCAGATACTTAAAAATTTTTCAAAGTTACATCATCTAAATCACTTAATACTCTCTACTCCTTTGGAACCTGTCAAGGCAAAATTCAAGGAACTAGACAAGTGATTTAATTGGTCTGGAGTAGGTTTCAGGAGATAAAAAAACCCTGACCAATTATAGACTGATTCAGTTCTTTAAAGATTGCAAAGGAGCGACACCCAGATTAATTTGATGTACATGAAAGGATCAAATAAGTCGCCTTGTCTCATCAAAAGGTTTCACACATGGAACTTTGCATTGTTCCAGTGATGTAGAGTGAAGGTGATTTCTGGTGTATTGAGGATGTATCTAGATAAATAAAGGTTTGAGAACTATTTAATAGAGCTGATGATAAGACATACCCTGTCAGTCCTGACTCTGAAGGCTGTGACCATGTATGAGATGACTAGAGGTCGGTGACATTGAGAAGGAACAAAATCTGACAGCAACGTCTCTGTAAAATGTCTCTTATCACATACAACAAGGATGATATTTCTCAAACATTTTCTTCAGGTTGGTAATGTCAGTAGAATAGAAGTTCTTATAACACAACCAGTGGTTTAAGCGTGGCTTTTCAATGACTGCATGGTCATCGTCATCAGACAAATGACCAGTGTGGAGTATACTTGCGGTAATATAATCCTATGTATACTATGATCCGGCAGTTCATTACCAAATGGTTTATTCTGGATGCCCAATTAAACCCTATAACAGCAATATAACAATACATTAAAACCAATTCTCAAACTCACACTACCTGAACAAGTTATGAACTCGTCCAGATCGAACACGACAGTTTAACGTGCTCGGTACAAACACGCTTCACTATACAAATACTACTAAAGTAAAACACTGAATAACCCAGTCACTATCATACATTACAGAGCCGAAACTCGTACAGTATAAGTTACAATACACAATACGTTAAGGCAACAACCTACCTCTTCAAAAAGGGAAGAGGGCTTAAGGGACACAACCCGCAGATGATGGTTTAGCTGGACACAGAACAAAACAGTGGATCTACAAATTATGTCAAATAATTAGCAAAGATAACAAATAGTTAACTTTCAAGAGAATTCAGGAAACAATTATAATGATCAAAAATATATCTCAACACACCTCCTCTGAATAAAGTAAAAGATAACCATGAACTCCAAACAACATGAAATTCAAATTACCAAAGATCGATTCACTCACAATTTAACAGAGCCTATAAAATATAATTCGACGTCGATCTTTACAAGAGGATGCAATTACAATAATTGTAAAAAGTTACTTACTTACAATGCAGTCAACATACAACATGATCGGTACTTACTATAATTTCCCAACAACAAAGGACGAAAAAGGGCCTCTCTCAATAAAACCCAACCGCCATTATTCAAAGTCCATGGGAGTGTAAATTTACTGCGCGCCTTGCGCAATGACCACTGGGCAGTCCAATAAAAAAATAGATTTGCCCTTTGACATATCACAGAGCCGGATTACAATACATTATAAAATAAGACCTACAATTACGTCACACAACACTGGACTGCAACTTGCTCACTTATATTAAAAAATACCTTACAAAGTCAATTTACAAAATTGTACCCTACTACAATGGTAACAGTGAACTGGTCGTAGATGTGTGAAGAACTATGGCCCCCTTCGTCCCTCTTTACTACTAGCCCACTGTAGTGTATCCAGATAGCCTTCCTGACCAGTCACCTGAAAAAGCAGTGTTGAATTGACTACAGTACTTCACCGTCTTGTGTCTGTTAGTACACTTCACACTGGTTACACTTAAAACTTTTTCTGGTAGTGTTGGAAGAACTTATAACATGTTGTAATTACAAACCTGAAGAAAATGTTCCGAGGAATATAGTTCCAAATGAAAGACCTGAAGGCTGAAATAGTGGATTTCAAATCCTTTAAATGAATAGACAAATAAATCACATACAAAAATACCATAAAGAGCTCATCAGTATTGGAAGGCAGTCAAATTTTAATCAATATCTAACTCTATTCATGCCTGAATATCACATTTCACTGATTTATTGAGCCATTTTCAGATGTTGGTCAGACAATATTGTATACAGGCCAGAATATTACCAGGAATTTTCAATGATTGAATAAAGCATTTATAGGTATGCAGAATATAGATATTAAGGCTTCCACATCTGAAGAGCAAAAACTGAACCATCAATGAAAAATTTGCCAGAAATCACTTAAGCTGCAATTCATAAAAAAACGTAATTTCACTTTTAGGTTAAATGTAATGCAATCTTTATATGGTCAAAGCCTTTGGAACTAGCTGTTACTACCAATCCTAGCTTTCTGATTAGTGGAAATATTACAGTGATTATGGCAGCCTCGCAAAATCTTTGATTTTTCCACGAAAAAAGAAAACAAAAAATCTTACATAATTTGTACTCTCCCCACTTCAAACCTTTAAGCTTTTGTGAAAAAATACACACTTTACACACAGATTTTTACGATAGCAAAATGAACCATTTGTAATCTGTTGTAATGTTTTGTTCTGGGTTCAATATGCAATGCCACTGGCAGTTTCTTTTTATGGTATTTTAAATTGTTTCCATGAATTGAACATTTTGTACAAAGTCCACTGATTTAATTGAAAATATCTTCAAATTTTACTTTAGTAATCATCTTCTATAGAAGATTTTGGTTGTTGTGCATGTGATGGAATATATCTCACATTTAAGTTGCAAATATATACATATATTTATAATTGTTTAGCCTTTCAGTAATACAGAGTTATCTGATCTTGTGAGCTGGTAGTGATTGTTACATTGTTTGTTTCTGAGAGTAATGTCATAACTTTTTGAGAAAATGGCGTAATTTTCTCCTTCAAACTTATGATGAATTGATAATACCTGCTTACAAGGGCAGAAAACTCCATTACAAAAAGACTAAATTGCCAAAGAAAAATTGTGATACATTTTGAATGTGATGTCATTTTTTAACAGGTGACTTTCCGTACCCGGATCTACCACTGTAACATCAACAATCAGGGCCACATATGTCTTGACATCCTCAAGGACCAGTGGAGTCCAGCACTGACCATCTCAAAAATACTCCTATCAGTGACTTCCCTCCTCTCAGACTGTAATCCACACGACCCTTTAGTTGGGAATATTGCACAGCAGTATTTGACCAATCGTGAGGAGCATGACAAAATAGCTGTGCAGTGGACCAAGCGATTTGCAACATGAAGATTGATTGGTTATTCATTAAAATATTTGTACACAGAATGGATTTGATTGGTGAATACTGAAAGAAATATGAAAGCATTTAGTAATGTGTCTAGTTTACTGTTCATTCCACTTAAATTGATTTATCAGTATTTTCAATTAATATCAAATTGTAATACTGGCACTCACAATTCTTTCCATGGATTTCTAAGACGTCACCTACAAAATTCAAATTGAATTAAAAGATATTTTCTTTGCTCTTTAAAGATTCTGAAATTTACTGGTGTTTAGCCACTTTGCTGAAATCAGGAATGAAGCTTTTGTACTGTGACTAACCAAATTCATTAACATTGATCTTTCAAATGGAAAGTATAAAACAATGTAACGACAATATTACCATTATTTTTATTTCCTAAAGACCAAAATACATTTTGATGAGAAAAACAAAATGAGAAAAGTGCACAAAATCCAAGCACACCATTGTTATTGTACTGATATCATTTAGCTACACTTGATATTTTAACACTGAAATTTCTTATTACTGTATAGCCAGTTATTTTCGCAGGAATGATATTTTCACTGTTTTGCGGTACTTCAACATGATTGCAAAAATATAATCTGTGAAATAATGAGATGTGTGTATAGATGTACTTTTACATCACGATCACAAAATTTTTGATTCGTTAAAGAATTATTCGATCTTTTGAAAGAAATAAAATGGCAAAAATTTGACCCAAGAAAATGATAATCTTTACAGTAATTAGGCATACTGTAACAAGAACTGAGAGTCAAATTAAGCGAGATGGATCGTTTATCTGAATGGTTTTCATGACTGAATGAGATATTCACATACTACAGTATGATTTGAAAGTGAGTAAAATGTGAATGTTACAAGAAATCTGATTGGTCTTGCTACAAGTTTTTTGATTGGTGTATTTACAAAATGGAAATTTTTAAAGATTTGATCAAAAGTCTGTATTTAGAGATATCTTGTGTGACAACTTGTTATATAGATTGTGTAACTTTTATGCTGAATGCAGACTGTATTGACAAGAATTTGGACAAAGTGATAAAACTCTGTTTGTTTATACAGACATGATTATATGGATATGTCTGATTGTGAATGATCATTACTGTTCCAAGAAACGGGTATTTACAGTGTGAGACATTGTCGTTAATCAAACTGTGGAGTATATTGATTTGAATATGTTCCTATAGCAACAAGTATGAAATGAGTTGTGTAAAGATGAGTTGCTTTGAAATAAGAAAATGTAGATCCCATACAAGAAGTATAGTGCTCAATTTTATGAGTCAAAAACTTGTATTTTCATGTACCAATATGTTAAAGTGTTGAAAATATAATGAATATGTATGATGTCAACAAAAGTTAGTGAAAAGATGTTTGTATTGTATAGTTAAAACTTCATTAGTGACTACACTTCTATCAGACCAGTACAGGATCTATACTGACCTGTAAAAGTACTGTACAACTAAATGTACTGGTCCTTACTGTGTGCAAATAAATCAGATGTGCAGGTGGTTGTAAATCAGATAAAAACAGATTGCAGGAATTATAGTACAAATAGTGTTGATCTGGTTACACTTCAGACATAAACTTTTGATAGTCACTTTGTCAACACTATAAACTGAACATCTACCTGGTTACATATCAAACACTGCTGCATCTTCACGTTTCTTTTTTTTTATTTTATATATCTAAACTCTGAAGATCTTACATCCTACCATGTTTGTATATCACACTTTTCAAGTGTTTTCATGACACGCCAAGGGATACATCTTTAAGATGAAGCCGTTCTAAAGAATGGTCGTTTAGGTTTTGTCATCCACTGACATGCAAGTTAAACTACCCTTGTTAATATTTCATTGCCTTTTTAGTATGGAGAATGATAAGTTACAAAATATGCTTTAGTTAACTGCTTATGTATTGTTGATTTTTAAAAATTAAAGACCTTATTGAAGACTTTTATGCTTTTTTTACATAATGTATAGAGTTATGTCCCTTGGTTCAACATCATCCAATTGCATGTAAATCTTTCTTGGGTCACTAGGTACAGAATTACGGCTATTTGTCCTCTGTATTGATAAGAGCCTACATTCATGTTCCAGTTGTACATTGTAGTCAAGACAAATACTGCCTTTTCTCAATCATACTGTTACAAATTGTTGTTTTACCAATAGTTTGACACTACAAGAACATCCCTTTTATAAAAGCCATGTAGTAGACATATTTCTTATTTGTAATTTTTAAAGGTTGCCATTTTTGCAATTTGTAATTTTTTCCAACCTCCAGAACAGCACAAATTAAAAGTAAAAGTAAACCCACTTATGTACAGTGGTCTTGGTTAATGTTTTCATACCAAAGCTTGAACAGATTTGGTACTGCTGATAAGATTCTGCCTTTTCCATTTGTCCTAATATGATAATATCTGGACAAAAAGGAGATGATAATGGCGTTAATTGGTTTGTAACAGTTAAACAAATTTTTGTTAATAAGCCACCTGTATATGATATGTTGTGATATGCTAATGTTGTAATAAATAAGAACAACTTTGTTTTAAGTGAATTCTTTTTATCTTTTATCAAATTCAACATCTTTAATAGAAATATAAGCTCTCCTTGTTTTACAACAGTGGTAAAATAAGCAGTCAGTTTATACCACTCCTGTTGGCCTGGATGGAATTATATGAGGGTCTTACTGGGGAAGGGAACACTAAGGTTATTAAGTGGATGACCCACTACCTTGTCTTGTTCATTTGGGAACCCAAACCCAGACGTCTACCTGAGAGACAAATGTTTAACCACTGCATGACCCAACATGATTTATTGGGTATACAGTTCACCTCGTACGTTGTTAATGGTCAATCCTTCCATAGATATTACTGTTATGGGAAAGGTGCTATGTCTTTCTATGGGGAATCAAGTCAACCAGCAGTGTCTACCACCTGATATCTGAAAGATTGTACAAAAGACACACAAGTGCATAGCACCTTTTCATAACTAAGAGGGAGATAAAATAGAGCTAAACAATTATTTAAACTACATCATACATCTGTTTCGTCCTTCCAGGACTCATCAGTGATGCTGCATCATACAGCTGTTTCATCCTTCTAGGACTCATCAGTGATGCTACATCATACAGCTGTTTCATCCTTCTAGGACTCATCAGTGATGCTACATCATACAGCTGTTTGGTCCTTCTAGGACTCATCAGTGATACTAAATCATACAGCTGTTTCGTCCTTCTAGGACTCGTAACTGATGCTATGAGTCTAAAATTTGTCTACAACCTGATATCTTTAAGATTGTACAAAAGGCGCACAACCAGCATACACAGTATATATAGTACACAAGTAGTATACACAAAATTCATAGTTAATAGGCAGCAGAATTCATCAGTATTTTTGGTTTTGATTTCGAAAGTGAACTAATAACAAGTAGTTGCTTAATTATTCTTACATCCAGTGTTGGACATTTGTGCTCTTACATCTACACTCTAGCCTTCTGTCAATTCAGGTTACAACAATATGCCATTTGTAGGCAGTGACAGCTTACATAATTCAGGAATGCAAACATGAGTATAATTGGTACAATCAGGACATATACATACATAGTTAATATCTGGTATTGAATACATAGTCAATGTCTGTATTAGAGGTATTTTTTTGCTCCTGTGTAAAATTGCTTCTATTGAAGATAATTATCTCCTGGACATAGATTTTGTGACACTGCACAGTTTCAAGTGTATCCATTCAGCAATGATTCATGTATGTGAACATTTATAGCAATTTATAAAATGAAGTTTCTGTTATACAAAATTTGGTAAAACACATACCTATCCCGACTAGTCTTATTCACTTTGTTTCCTCCAGTGATGAAGATTACTAAAGAATGGAAAACATATATACAAAGCCTATGATACATATATATACACGATTACATAATAAACATGACATAAATGTAAACTTTATATGATAGGGATGTACACATAAAGCGAAAAATAACCGAGAGTTGGTAATTTAGGGTATTCCCAAAAAGTTTCAACATACAGATTTAAGACACAAGCCAGGTAACTTATAATAAATTATATAGGACTTTGTGTAGTTATGTATTTTTACATTTTCAAGTACATACAGTTAACAGATTTATTAAATCCCACAAATTATGAATGTGGAGGATAAGGTGAGGGAGAGACCTATATACACTCCCATGCAAATAAATCTCACTAAAGCTTGTATAGTATCTTATGTAATATGTTTTTCTAAGTCACATGGCTCATACAAAAGAGTTCATTAAATATGTATTATTTGACATGTTGGTCACAACAATCACATATGTCATTTCACTATATTTTATTGATATAAACAATAGGATTTGACAGCAGGCTAAAGTCTTCTCCCAAGACAACACGGTGGTCAGACATAAACATAATGTTACATAAACATACATGCAGTACATACATACAAACCTTACATTACATACATACATCATAAAGTTTGTATTGACAGTAATTTTAAATAATGGGAGATAACTGTTATCTTTTATACTTTAAGCTTAGGATTATAAGAAGATCATTTATAATCCACCAGCTTTTCAGTTAACTATGTCTTATGATAATAAATGTGCATTACGTGTACTTTCTCTCTCATATAAAAGGCTTTCGGGCCAGAATGTCCATGATATAAAAGGTAGCCCTCTCCCACTTCAATGAGGGAGCGAGTTTTTTCTTATATCAAAAGACAAGTATTCTAAATAGAAGAGCGATTCAGACCAAGGCAGTGCTGGACCTTTGTGCTCTTAAATCTACACTCTAAACTTCTGTCAATTCAGTTTACAACATTATGCAATTTGCAGACAGCGACAGCTTACATAAGTAACAAATGCAACCTTGAGTATAATTGATACAATAAAGAACATGTACAAACATAGTTAATATCTTGAATAATATATTGAATACATTCTAAATATCTGTATTTGATGTAGGTGTTTTGTTCATGAGTAAAATTGGTTATATCAAAGATAAATATATCCCGGACAGAGTTTACGTGACACAGCATAGTTACAAGTGTTTTCATTCAGCAATGACTCATGTGGACCTTTCAAACCATCCTTTTGAAATCGTTTATTTATGTAGAGTTGATATCTACAGTTTTTTATTTGGCCTCGTCTTTGTACTCCGTATCACGTTTCTTCATTTTCTGATTGGTAAGCCTTATTTGGAATTTAAGACTTGTCTCACCGTTCTCTTGTTCGCCATTATATCTTTGTGCGATATTCCGACAGTCTGTCATGTCTCCTTAGTTCCAGAAATATCTTATTTCAATGAATTCAATGTTAATTTTCTTTTCGATAATTCAGTTTTTGTATCAAGTTGTTCGTGAATACTTTCCCAACTTTTGTTAACATTTGTCTCCAGCTTGTTGTATTCTGAAGGTCTCGATGTTCTGTTGTATGTCCTTTCCTATTTTTTCTAATTTACGCTAAATCGTTCCGTTCTCTTTCTCACATTTTCCCAGCTATTTTTCACTGTCTTTATTTACGCCTTAATTTTTTAGCTCTCTTTTGGAGTCTTTCTTTTTCTTTCTAAAGTTTGTTTATTGTGTATTTATTTATCTGTTCTTGATAATTCGCTTTCATTTCGAGGCTCTCTCGTTGTATCGTGGCCACAGTTTCTGTCAACGCTTGTAAATCAGACACAACGTCAGATTGAAAGCAGCGAATTAAAGCAGTCTTTCTACAGTTTTTTCTGTAATTGATATAATCCAATTTTCGCGTTTCAATTCGTCTCCTTCGATAACCATTTTTCAAAAGAAATTCATCGCGTGATATGGCTTTCAGATACCGTTCATTTCAAATAATTTCTAAGTCAGTGACATTATCTCTACTTAATTTTCGGATATAGTCAATTGCAATTGTTCGTGAAGACCTGCTCATAAGACGAATTCTGGTCGTTACGCTTGATGACTCTCAGGTATACGCAGGTGCGCATAGTTCAACCACTACTGTATCCGGAAATACCAACAAAAGTCACATTTTTACAAACAACGATCAGCTGTTGAGACTGTCACATACGTATCACCTGTTTCACCTCCATTCCTGTAGGAATGATTAGATTTTGCCAATTATTCGGGAAAGGGGAATTAATTTTTGTATAAACCGTGGGTTTCAGCACCGTGGACAGAAGGGGCGGGGCCGAATTGGGGAAATTCTGTAAAATGCTACTCCTGTAGGAATTATTGGATATTGTGCTACATTGCTCTGAAACACCCTGGGTGAAGTGGAATCAGATTTCTAGAAAAAGAGGGTGTCTGCTCCCTCGAGTGATAGGCCAAATGTGGAAAATGGAGCTAATTCCTTAAGATCCTACTCCTGTAGAATTATTCATTCTGTTTGAGTTTGGCCAAGAGCATCCTTGTGTGAACGGTTTTAACAATAGGTCTTGAACCCTCCAGTGCAGGAGGGGCACGATTCATTATTGCGGAAGCACAACAAATGGAATGGTTCAATCATCGTGCAAAATTTCACCAACTATATTGTGCACACTGAATTGGATATATTTGTATTGAGAACATAAAACAATTGACTACAATTACTAACACTGACGAACCCTGGAAGATGGGACGAATCAGTTGCATGATGCAGTTTTACTCAACGTTTGGCTGTAATTCTAAATTATACATTGCTTACTTGGGTTGGCCAAGTTTACATTGTGAGCGGCGAAGAGGAAGTAGAGTAGGCCTACCCTTACTCTTCCGGAACATTCGGTCTTTGTGTCAACAATCATTTAAGCTGAGTTTGAATCAAGATTCTGTTGACAGGTCTGTATTGTATGAAATATTGCTATTTTGTGTGTGTTTGTGGTTATGTAATCTTACACATATGAAAGTTTTGGAGAATAATTGATTTCAGAATTTATTAACTACTCATCACATACCACGTCATCAAAAAAGCCATTCTGATAATATAAAGGCCATTTAAATGCCAGAGCACACGATCGTTTGGAATTTGAATCTTTAAACGATCAATTGGAATTTTAATTGCCACATTTCGTGCTATTCGTTAGGAGTACATGTCCATATAATATAAAATAATAATTTTGTAACAGTACGCTTGTCAAGGATAAATGATGTCTTTGAAAAAACGACGAATTATGGATGTCACCTGTATGATGCAGTTTAATTCATTGTTTTATTCCATTTAAATTTATTAAAATTTGTATTAAATGGTTTTATTCACATGTATGCCTGTTGTACAATCTTCTAATCTATACATTCGCCTACAAATAATTGCCTTTGTCTCGTTGTATCTTTACATAATTCGAGTCCGCAACGTGGAAATGAATGCATACCCATTTTCCTGTCAGAAAATGCATAACAAAAATATGTTAGAAGTAGGTCTATACAGAGACACATTTGCGGTAACCAAGTGAGTAATATAGTATTTAACACATCGAGTGGGGTTTTCCACGGGACATTCTACTTTCGTTTTTGGCGTATATACATATGATATTGCTTTCGTTTACCCACTCTACCAAGTATCTAAGAAGTGTTAAGACGTGTTA